TGGTGCTGAGCTGGGTGAGGCCCTGCCTGCCCTGTTATCTGAAAAGAACAGTGTCAGCATTTGGGCGTTGTGGAAACTAGTACACCCTCCCCATCATTTTCAGGCTTTTCTGTGGGGGGATGTCTAGGCATCTCTCACCCTCTTGTTTCCCTGCCGACTCACCTGCTGGTCCAAGAGCCCTACCATCCACCTGGCACTTTAGGGCCTGTCTTTAGCCAAGTCACAGATGCCCCTTGCTGAGGACCTGGGAGGACTCCTCTCCATGGGGAGCCCCAATCAGATGTGTCTTGGCTGCAAGGCCCAGGCAGCTGGCCAAGAAGGGCCGGAAATGCTCCAAATACTCTCCTTTCTCCAATAGCTAAGGGGAGGGAGGCCCCCTCAGAGAGGCCATTTTATAGTGATAGCCAGACTAAAATCCTTTGCTGTGAGGGGATGGGAGATGGTGGAGAGAAAAGTACTTGTGAGGGATGAACTAAGAAGGCATCCTTCTACATGAATGGGCTTGTTAAAATCCAATAGCCCGAGAGCTTGCCTTCTGCCGAATCCCAGGCGGATGTGTGAGGAGTTCCTTCGCTGGGACACGAAGCTGTGTTGTTGGCAACGGTGATATCTGAACCTGACCTTCAGAAGAAGGTTAAAAATAGTGTTGTCCTGGCAGAGCCAGTCTTCATCTGTGTGTGCGTGTGTGCGCGCACATGCAAGCTTCTTAAGAGGCAAAGGCAAATAATGCCCCGACCTGGTGCTTCCTGCAAGCTGGAAAACAACTTTTGCAGTGGATGTGGGAGAAGGTGTGGGGCTTGTGTTGACTTTTTGAAACCTGCTCATGGTCAGAGTTCCTCTGACACCTTTCATCTTCTTTCTTGAGCTTCAACCACATGCCAGGGCTGGGAAGGCCCCTGATCTCCTGTTGCTGTCCTCTTGGAATAAGACCCACAGTGTGGCCATGTAGTGGTCATCTCCCCTTAGAGAATTAGTTAAAATGAGTACAACATTTAGCTTTAGTTTGCACAGTGCATTACTGTGAAGACAGTAAGTTTTGTTTATTTTTTCAATCAGGAGTGAAATCTTGCTGTTACAATTAATGGATGATGAGGAAACTAAGGCTCAAAGAGGCCATGTGGCTGAGTCAGTAACTGGCAGAGCCTGGACCTCAGCCCAGGGGATAGCTCTCATGTTCTCCCTTCTCTTCACAACCTGCCTCAGTAGGAAGCCTTGCAGCAGTCAGCTGGAGGGGTGGCCTGGCTTCCCTGTTTTCAGTCACCTGCACACTTTCTTGTTAAGCCAGAGCTCCCCACCACTAGGTCTGTGCTGGTCCTCTCGGACATCCAGCCCCAAGCCAGATGTTTGGAGCAGGGAGAGCAGATGCACATCAGCAGCTGGTCAGAAGAGGAGGGCTGGGTGTCCACAAAGCAGGTAGCAGGAGATTGGAGCAGGGAGAGCAGCTGGTTTGGGGGCTACATGGCACCCACTGAAACCCTGCCTTCCCTTTTTGGGGAAACTGTGTGCAGTGAACCCCCCACAGGCCTATAAACCTTCTTGTGCTGGTTGTTCCCTTCCTGGGGAGGAGAGCCAGCACCCCTCCCCATCACACACGGAGGGGTGAGGGGTGGCCTGCACCTGGCTGTCAGGGACACAATGCTGAGTGCTGGCTGAAAGGAGCCCTTTGAAAGGCTCTTTGACATAAGTTTCAGATCCCATTCTGGTGTGTGTTTCCCCTCACCCTGAAACCCACTGAACAAAGCAGGTCTTGGACCAAAGCTCCTGGCTCCAGCTCCTCCCCCTCCTGCTTTGTCCCCTTGATCTCCCAGAGGTAACTGCCAGGCAGAGCAGGTGCAGGGCTGGGCTGTGGGTGAGCTGAGCCCTGGAGTGGAATCCCAGAATCTTGTACCGTTGTACTCCTTGCACCTTTCATGGCCTGCCCAAGAGGAAAGCAAAGAAGGGGATCTGAATTGATCCTTCACCAGCCCCACGTAGAGAAGACTAGAGCAAACTTTCTAAGAAACCTTGAGAGTGCCCCACAACCTCCCAGTTGTTGCAGGAGTAAACGCACGGGATGCCTCTGAGCTGTATGGGGTGGTGGTTAAGAGCCTTGGCTCTGGGTTCAAGGAGACCTGGGTTCAAATCCCAGCTCTGCTGTCCTACTACCTGCGTAACTTTGAGCAGGTTACTTAATCTCTCTTTAGCTTCCCTTCTGGAAAATGGGGGATTAGTGCCTACAGGCGGGTTTGTAGAGAAGGATTAAATGAGGTAAGCCGCTTGCCTCGGGTGCTCAGCTCCTTCAGAGCCTCCCTTCCTCTTCTCACCTTTTCTGTATCAGACTCTTCTGGGCTGTTGCAAACCAGTGAAAGCGTCCACAGGTCCTGGCTCTGGAGAAGTGAAAGGCCCTGGAGGCCCCTGGAGTCTTTCACTTAGCCAGTCAGTTATTGAGCACCTACTACACAGATGAATGTACAGACTGAGGCCTTTGCAGGCCGTCGGGAGGCTGCCTGACGAATTCTCAGTGGCAATGTTTGTAAAGGTAAGGGTGACAGACAGCCTGGGGAAGGATTGAAGGAAGTGGGACCCCAACAAGGGAAGGGGTAGTGAGGGATGTCTGGGGTATTGACCTTACTGTTATGGGTCTGGGTACCCTCCCCAGGAACGACAGCTCTGTGCTCTGCTCTGAGTGCCTGCCCCCAAGGTCAAGGCATTTGTGGTCTCTGAGGCCTGGGAGCTGCCTAGTCACATTGTTTTTGAGAAGACTCACATCCCCTGCAGAGTCCAAACCAAGCTGAGGAGCCCCCAGCCCCACCCCACCCCACCAAGTTTTCTGTCTAAGGCTGAAGCGCTTCTGCCTGCTGGGCCTCCCGCAGTGGACACCAGTGAGGCTTCTCTGGCCCCAGCCAGCTGCCCCTTTCAACCTCCCTGCCTCTCAGATTACTCAGCCTTCACAGCATCTGTCACTAAGATGCTGAGTGCATTCATGACGGCCTCTCTTCAGGAAAGGCTTGGGCTGTGTGGCCTTTTAAGAAAGGCTCGGTGCCCGGGTTAAGCCTCTGATTGTGGTTCTGCGTGAAGAAACCGTAAACCAAAGGAAAAGCAATGATTCAGCTTTGGTCTTGGAGCTTTGTGTTCAGCGTCTGCTTGAGTCTCTGAGCTTGGAATTGAACGTGGGCCATACAAAGCAGGTGGAGAAACTGTCCTTTCTCTCTGGTTTCTGCATAGATTATGAAGAGTAGGAAAAATCCAAGGAGGCTCTCATTCTGCTGTCTTTTAAGTGCTGTGCCTGCTCTAAAGTTTGTCTCCTTGATACATGGGCTTGCGGGAGGTCCCTACTGCACCTTCTTCCTTCATGACAAAATCTCCAGTCCCTGGAAATCTTGGTTCTTCTACTGGGGCCAAGCTCAAGAGTGATACTCAGGTAATGTTAGTTGGCTAGTTGCTGAGGAGGCCTGATCATTTTCTAATGGCCATACCAGTTTTAAGGGATCTGGCCTAACCCAGGGAGGGGAGGGGACGAGCGCTGTGGACCGATCCATTCACCCCCCAGGCGTGCCTGGCCTGCACCTTCAGGAAACCCTCCGCCTTTCCGTGGAGTCAGAGCTGAGTCCGAGGTCCGGGGATGTGCTGCTGACCGCCACTTGACTGCTCATCATCGGCCATTTCCGCACCCTTGGTCCTGGGGGTGGGTAGAGTTTGGTTTTCTCTCCTCTCCAGGGGCATAGGCAAGCCCAGTAACTGGGTGTTAAATAACTTCCATCACCACTTTTGCAAGGGCCGCCTCAGTGGTGCGATGCATACTCCGAGGGCTGGGATGCAGGGGAGCTTCCGGGTGTCCCCACCAACCACATTGCCTTGCCCTTCCCTTCTTACAGGGAAAGGTGTCCTCAGTGCTACCTTCTGTTTGTGGGTTGTTGTTTGTTTTTTCCACAAAGAAAGGCATTTCCGGTGTTTATTTTTCTTCACAGTAGTTTACCCTATCTATGCTTTAAAGTGGAATGGGTTAGGTGTAATCCTTAGGCCCATCTCCTGCCCAGGCCTGGGGAGAGGAGACCTGTGGCTGAGGACCATTCTGGCAGTGGTGGTGTGGTGCCACCTCCTGGCCACACTACCCATCATGTCTTCCTACTCTTGCTCAGCAATTGCCAACAGTTCATCTAAAAAACGAAAGGAACTTGAAAAAGATACTGTATTCTGAAGTCCATTTCTGGTTGATCCTGTAATGCCCATAGCTTTTGGTATCAGCTTGGCTTTTCTGGGGCTGCCTTGCTAAGCCTCCTATTAAAATGACTTTGTATTTCTAAAGGCCGAATTGTCAAGGCAGGACTAAGCAGCCGTAGCCTGGAAGCAAAGACATCAGCCTAGAACCTGATGCTGCACGTGTGTGTCCCTTAATCTGCCTGTGGTTTAAGACTAGAGGGAGGGAATATTAAGGAAAGTGGCTGGAGTATGGGAAGACCAGGGTGTGAACAGAGAGGATGGCTGTAGCTCTTGTTCTCTAATATACTGTATCTAGTCTGAGCTCAGTTCTGCTGCCACTGACCCAGCATCTAGGGAAGCTGACCCTGAACAGAACTGCAGCTCCACTGACTTGAAGGGAAGGGGTCTGGGTTACTCCCTTGTTTAGAATAGGTAGCCTTCTGAGAACGGGTGTTAGGGAGGATTTGTGTCTTTGTGAATTAATTTTGAGGGTATCCTCAGTGTGCTGCTACCAGAGCAGGACGACACCTGGGTTCTGTACCTGGCCCCGTCTTTGAGTGTCCCCACCATAAAATGAAGAGCAAATTCTCTGCAGCTCATGTCCTGAACCAAAGAGTGGGGATTCCTACTGTTTGTGCTCTAGAGAGAAGATGTTGTAATAAACACGTACAATTCACTGTTGCCTGTATCTGGTCGTTCACCAAGCATGTGCTACGTATCCAGGTGGAGCTTACAGACTAGAGGGGATGTGGCACCGGGGTCAGGGGGCTACCTGTGGACAGAGATGCCCTGTTAATGCCTCATCGTTGCTTCTGCTCTAGGCCTGGTCTCCAAGTCCTCTCCTAAGAAGCCTCGTGGACGTAACATCTTCAAGGCCCTTTTCTGCTGTTTTCGTGCCCAGCATGTTGGCCAATCAAGCTCCTCCACTGAGCTCTCCGCATACAAGGAGGAAGCCAACACCATTGCTAAGGTAGTTGGATCGGGGTGGTGTGATGCCGTCAGGGAGGGGGCTGCTAGTGGGGGTCCCTGCATCCATGGCAAGTGGGCAAGCAGCCTTGCCTGACGTCACAAAGATCTCCGGCTCAAAGGAAGCCCTTCTTCCTCTGACGGACCCATAGTTGGTTCATCTTTCTGTTGCTTCCCATTTGTGGTGTGGGCCTTCCGGATGCCCCTGTGGTTTCTGAAGGCCCCTGCAGTCCACATCCTTCCAGTTTCCAGGAACTGCAAAATGCTTTACACGCATGTCTCATGTGATCCATATAGCAGCCCTGCAAAGAGTTACAGGATTCCCACTTACAGATGTGGAAACTGAGGCCAGAGGCTTTGTGTAGCCCCCAAAGAGTTGATGGTTAATAAACGGTAGCGCCGGGGTTCCAGCTCAGATCATTCTGGCTGTAAATCCTGTGTTGGTTTTATACTATGCAAACCTATCTTCCAAGTCACTTGATTTTCAGGCAACCAAAGAATTGAAATTATTTCACACTCTTGATCACCCCTTCCAGCTCTCTCCCCTGTACCTATGAGAGACATCGGAATGTGTGAGTGTTTTTGATTCTCACAGTGACCAGTAGATGTGTCTGGCATTTCAGGGTGGGGACAGTGCGGACCAAAAAATCCCTCTACCCCAGTGCCATTGGTACTTCTTTCGAAAACACCAAGGTCTCGCTGTCCTTCCCCTCTCTCAAAACCAGACTAACTACGAACATCAATGGAAAAAAATGACTTCATTTCCCAATAGGGGGAAATAGTTAAAGTACGAAATGACAGTATTAGTAAGCAGTTGATTTTTACAAAGAGTTCACAATTACATGAACAAGTATTGAGTTGCAACATTAAGCCCAAAAGCGGAATGCAAAATTATGTTTTACGGGGGTTGGGGGGAAGACTGCTAAAACAAACTTGAAGGAAATACACTAAAATGCCAATTTGTTTTTTCTAAGTGCTAGGATTTTAATTTTTCTTCGGGGTTTCCATTAAGAGCGCTTACTAATTTTTATAACCATAACAACATTTTTATTATTAGCAAATGGCAGGGAAGCCATTCTGACCTCTCTGCACTCCACCTCCCCGCCCATTTTGAGACCCATAGTGTGGATTCGTGTTGGCTTACTTCTGTTTTGTTAGGGGCTCAGGGCCCCCCACCCATCCATGATCCCCCCCCCAGGGAGGGCATAGAAAATACACGTTCTCCAAGAGAAGTCTAGTTCCAGGACTGGGCCAGAGGCTAAATCACTACAGTGAGGAGTTCTGATTTTGGTTCTGCCTCTGACGCTGTCCCTGCATCACCTGCCTGAGATCCCTGTTCCTCTGTTTATCCAACTGAGAGGCAGTGGCAGCCAAGAACAGGAACACTGCCTTCTCCACCTCTCATCAGCCTAATGTGGAAAAGGAAGTTCTGGCCTTTCCTGCCCATTTCTTAAGAAAAGTCATTTTTGTCATATCAGGACCTTCCAGGGGGCTGGGGTCTTGGGGACAAAATTACCCTCCAGATCTGAGGCAGAAGCAGTGGGCTTTGGACAGGCCGGGAAAGGTGTTGGTGGGCTGGCACTGACCGTTTCCTTTTCTCCCCCAGTCTGACCTGCTCCAGTGTCTCCAGTATCAGTTTTATCAGGTATGTGAATCTGACCAGGTGTGTGCTCAGAAGCCCAAGACCCCATGATCCCGGCTCACTCATGGGGTGATGCCCTCATTCCTTGGTGCTTGTCTGGCTACCTCCCTGTCCTGAGAAGCCATTTATCCCAGATAATTTGCTGAGGGCCCACTATGTGCAGGGCATAGATTTTTGGGGGAGAACTGGTGTCCATCCCACACTGGCCCTGGCCCCTATCTCCAGTGTCCAGATCACTTCATAGTCCCAGTGGGAGGTGGAAGCTAAGGAACCAACTCTGTCTCTTCTTTTTCACCTCTTGGCCTTCAAGTAGCACCTCTCCTAGATTGACATTGGGGGGTAGTCTACCTCCTCGGTGAGCCCAGCTCTTCCCAGAGTTCTGTTGAGGGGCACAATTGGGCTTTCTTGGTGGCAGATCTTAGCAGCCTGGCTCTGGTTTTAGATCCCGGGGACTTGCCTGCTCCCAGAGGTGACAGAAGAAGATCAAGGAAGGATCTGCGTGGTCATTGACCTGGATGAAACCCTTGTGCATAGCTCTTTTAAGGTAACTCGACACCTGGAGCCCTTTCTGCACCCGTCTGGGGCTGTCTTGGGAGCCTGGCTAAGGTGGCCTAAAGTTGATGATAGAAGAGTGATCAGAACGAGGCCGCCGGGCCCCCAGCATTTTGGCCACGCTGGTGTCACACGTAACTTGAGACCACACCAAGGAATGTTGCGTAGGAAGCCCTGCTCCCCCCAATCACTACCAACAGTCTGCAGCTGCCCCTCAGTCACACAGCCGCCAGGGCTATGTATAGGGCAGGCCTAAAGAGGGGTTGAATCAGCCTTGGATGTTGCCCCTCTCCATTTTATCAAGATGTTTGTTAATTCAAGAAGGCCCTGAAACACTCCGCTCATGGAGCATTTGGAGTGGTGGTAAGGAGGGAAAACCAAAGGGGATATAGCACCCTGTGCTGAGGTAAGAACCACTTTGTGGGCTGCTAGGAGGAACTTCCTGGAGTCTCTAAGATCTGTTCCTCCCCACCCCTCCCAGGTGACAGTGCAGTGGCTGTGTCAGGGACTGGGGTGTGGAGGGGGCGTCTTGTCTTCTTCCCACCTCTCTGACTTCATTAACTTTTCTTCTTTTCAGCCAATCAACAACGCCGACTTCATAGTGCCTGTAGAGATTGAGGGGACCACTCACCAGGTGAGCTGCCTGCCAGGCCACACCCAGCCCAGAGGGCTCAGGGTCCTCTGCTCTTCTCGGGGCTTATGTCCCATCAGTTGATCCCTTTCCTGTAACTTCAGCCTCTCCCTTGTTATTGGGACATTTCACACTCCAGGTTTTCTCATCTTAAAAAAAATTCAGCCCTTCATCGCCCACTAGCTGTCACCTTTTTCCTCTTTGCAGCCAAGCTGTTTGAAATTATTATTGAATAATAGTAATAGCTATCATTTATTGATCACCACCCCCGCCTCTCCCAGTGTAACCCGCACTATTATATAATTTATTACATTCTCTCTAACCCTGAATAGTTGGTTCTCTGCCTGTTCTAGGCAAGGAAGCCAGTACTAGCTGTTTTCTCTCCTCCCCATGCCTACCTACTCCATCTAGTTTTAGAATTTCTTCCTCCCCAGCTCAGGCATCTCCTCTGTGGAGCTTAGTCCAACTGTCCTCCCCTTGGGTCCCTACACTGGCTTCTGCCCCAGTAAGTGCTCAGTGCATACCTGTCAAAGTAAAGAGCATTTGAATCTAAATAAGATCATGCCCTGTATAACCTGCTCAGTCTGGACTTAAGGATCATGTGGTGTTAATAGTGAAAAACCATTTACTGAAAAGGCTTGCCCAGAAGGCCTACCGTCAGGCCTGGAGTAAGGAACCATCAGGGACCCAGTATCCCTGACGCCTGCTTGCATGGCCAGGCTAAATAGTAGAGTTGCTTGTAGGCAAATGGGGTTTAAAAGGCTTCTGTGGGTTTCATCACTGTCCTGCATCCAGCAGAGGCTTTCTTCACCAGCACATGCGCATACACACACACACACCCCCAACCTGTGGTGCTCTGCCAGGCCCAGCCCCAGACCCTGATCAGAGCCAGGCTTAGCCCTTGGACAGCCTAGTCTCTGCCTAGCAGCAGCCCTGTATAGCCACACTTGAGGGTGTAGATATGTACTGAACTCACAGGGAAAGACAGGCGTGTTTTCAAACAGGCAAATATACACTGTGAACTCCTAGTTTAGAAGGAGGGCCATGAGTAATAACAAAGGGATGAGATAAAAATGAGGGGGGCACTGCCTGCAGACAGCGAGTTCTCAGCGAAGAGTGATGAGGGGATGCCAAGCTGGATCAAGAGCCAGGAAGAGGGAGGGCATTCAAGGTTGAAGAAATGGCGAAGAGAGGGAGAAGTTGTCCTACCTGGAGCAGAGGGCTCCTGCTGCAAAGCTGAGAGGAAGTTGGATTGGTGGTCAGTTTAGGCCAGCTCCAGGAGGGAGAGCCATGGCAGGCACATGCTGTCCGAGCAGGGAGTGACGTGGCTAACAGGAGCTTGGAAGGAATGGTTCTGGTAGCGCCTGTGTAGGCTGGGTGAGAGGGAAAGAGCCTGGTGTCAGGGAAGCTGTAGAATGCAGACCCATGAGGGACATGTAGCCTAGGGTCTTCTTAGGCCAAAATGTGCAAGATCATGACAGGTGGACACAAGTGTGACGGGTGCCGGGCAGGAGCAAGCACAGAATGGGTGGGTGCAGCCGTGTGTCCGGTCTGCGGCCATTGAGGGGAAAAGTCGTTTCTCCCTGGTGATGTCAGAGAAGCTGTGTGAGGATGTGAGGTTTTAGGAAGTATCTGCGACCTTGCCTGATGGTGACCTGGACAGACTGTCCTGCCAGAGCCAAGGACAGGAAGCTCCCACAGAGGCTGTGGCTGGATTCAAGTAATCCAGGATAGGCTGTTTCCATCTGTGAGGCCTATTCTTGATTACTTGTTTCTGGAGGCAGCTGATGGTTCGCCGCCGGAAACAGTTGGCTCCCGGGACGTAGGTGTATGCGCTTCTTCCTGAGTGGGGTCAAGGCTGGGACCACCGAGGCAGCAGAAGCCTGGTGAGGAGGTGATGCTAGTGTGCTGGCCTGTGGGGCAGAAGGCTTCCAGCCAGGCTGTTCCAGAGGCTGAGGTATGGGAGTCTGGACAGAGTAAGGTCTGAAACTATTATACTTGTTGCTTTTTGTGTAAGTGGCTCCACCCTCACAGGGATGCCTCCGGTAAGCCGCTCTGCTTTTCCCCAGGTGTATGTACTCAAGAGGCCTTATGTGGATGAGTTCCTGAGACGGATGGGGGAACTGTTTGAATGTGTTCTCTTCACTGCCAGCCTGGCCAAGGTACCAGGGGCAGGAGGGGAGAAAAGGCCCGGGAGGGGGGGGTGGCAGCTCCAGGGGTGCTCCTTGCTGGTCCCCGGATGCCACTGGGGAGCCAGGACTGCATCCACACAAAAGCATCTTCTCCTCTCCCAGTACGCCGACCCTGTGACGGATCTGCTGGACAGGTGTGGGGTGTTTCGGGCCCGCCTGTTCCGCGAGTCCTGTGTGTTCCACCAGGGCTGCTATGTCAAGGACCTCAGCCGCCTGGGCAGGGACCTAAGGAAAACCCTCATCCTGGACAACTCGCCTGCTTCTTACATCTTCCATCCAGAGAATGCAGTGAGTGGTCCAGACACGCCCACGCTGCAGGGATTGGGAGAGAGTGGGCGGGGGAACTGTGGGCTTGACCAGAGGAGCACACCACTGCAGGTGGACCCAGCCAGCCTCCAGGGGTCTGGGCAAGGGAAGGAAGAACCGGCAGTCAGGAGATTTATGCTGCCTTTCCCCGCCCCAGGTGCCTGTACAGTCTTGGTTTGATGACATGGCAGACACCGAGTTGCTGAACCTGATCCCAATCTTTGAGGAGCTGAGCGGAGCAGAGGATGTCTACACCAGCCTTGGGCAGCTGCGGGCCCCTTAGCCTTCCCTGCTTCCAAGCAACAGCCATCCCAGTAGGGGACTTGCCTACACTGTGCCTTTACGATCAGCCTGACAGACGGAGCAGAAGCTGGAACGTCACACCAAACGGGGCCTGGAAACAGAAGTGATGGGGAAGAGCTTTAGGACAGGCTAGATGCTGAGCGGGCAGTTGTTAAACCAACGATACCCCGAGCCGCCTGCTCCCGAAGTTGGGTTCCCGAGATGTGAGAGAGAGAGAGAGAGAGTATGTGTGTGTCTGTATGTGTGTGTCCGTGTCTGTGTGTCCGTGTCCGTGTGGCCTTGAACTGTGGCCCCAGGATATGAGTGTTTCAGGTTGGCGAAGAAGTTGAAAGGTCAAAACTCACCCCAAGTTAGTCCGTCTCCTCTCCAGCCACCCTGAGAACCACTGAGCTCTGCAGGGATGAAGACTACTCACGGCTCTGTTGCCAAACCCATGGCCTTTCCTCAGTGTTGTAAGCCTTGTGCCAAGGAGAAAGGAAGGGTCAGAGGTTGCCTTCGGGTGCCCCAGACACACTCCTTTCTGAAACCTTTCTCCAGCCAGCTGCTACAGATAGACAACATGTCTGGAAGATGAAATCCTGTTTCCAGAACTGGTATCCCCAGTGGCCATCAAGTCCTCAGCCCAAGGGCTGCACTTGCCTCCAGCCGAGTGCCTGTCACGGGCTCCAGGCCTGCCTTCCTCACCACCTAGCCATAGTCTTGAACCCATGGGGAAGGAGGTCTTCTCCCTGCCGTGGAAGAAAGCAGATAACTTGATTTCCATTCTTTTGACTCTGTTTTAAAATTCTCTTTCTAAACATGGAGTGTTGGGCCTGTTTTGTTTCTGACAAAGCTTCAGTCCTGGGCTTAAGGTGAACATGGGAGGCCCTGGGGATACAGGGAAGAGGAAAACCCTAAAAGCCATGAATGTGTGTGTCCCCTTGACTTGTATGTAGATCAGCTGAGCTTGGGACTGTCCATAGTCTGCTCTTCAGGGATTCTCTGTTGGTGCTGATGCAAGGACTTTTGTTCCAAAGTCCAGGAAGGGCGCACCCTACCTGCCCCTCCTGTTTCTTGGGCAGGGCCCTTTCCTGTGTGTCTCCCCCCGGGACCTGGCCTGTGCCAAGCGCTCTCTGCTTCACCTTCATCCTTCTTGGCTGTCGCTTTTTCTCTCCAGGGCCTCAGAGGCACTCCTGCTTTTCCTGGGCTGAGGGGGAGTGGGTATTCTTATCATTACTTTGCCATCTAACACACATGCCTCCTGCCTCTGGTAACAGGTATGATGAACGCTTCATACACCTGTGCTTTGTGTGTTGTCTCTTGCTTTCAGTTTCTTAACAATGAATGCTTTAAAAAGTAGTCATAAAATCAAAGTTTGCCTAGGATAGAAAACAAAAGGGGAAGTGCTGCTGTAATTGGGAGCACAAGGGGCCCCCCCTAAAGGGGGCCCCACCTCAGCATCACTGCCTTAATCATGGCTTCCCCGGGGCTGGGTGGGGTTCTCTCTCTTCCCTTCCTCCCTCCTTGCCCCCCTTCCCCTGGACCAGAGGGAGTTCCTATCCCATCTTCTCTTTTCCCTGGAGGCAGATGTCACAAAGCATTTGTACATCACTTCAGGTGTGAGGACACCTCCCACTCAGGAGTCATCTCCATTATCCTTTTCAATTTCCTCACACTAGGCCCGTCCTGAGGAACTAACCATTTTCAAGAAAACCAGGTTGGGGAGCATCAGCTCGGTGTTCTGGGTGGTAGCTGGCTGACTGGCATCTTTCTCTGGCATCGTGGGGCCACGTCCCTGCTTTGTCCAAGGTTGTAAGGCCTTGTCTGTCTTTTTTGGTGTCACACAAATGGGACAGAGTCCCCAAAGCCCACATGGTCATTTCCCCCAGCATCCTTCCCTGGTGCCCGCGGGGTCCTGCTGCAGTTGAGGGAAGCGGGCTCTGGTGCTAGCCAGGAATGGCTCCTGAAGGGAAAATGGGAGCTTCCGATCCCAAGGCCCAGCCTAAGGGTTGGCCCCTGGGCCAAATCTGCTATCCGGGCCCAGCCAAGCTTTTCTGCCTCAGCAATAGAGGCTCTTAAGCTGACCCAGTTCTTAGGCCTCTGCCCTCACTTGGGTCTCCGTGTTCCTCCGGGTGAAGGAAAAGCCTGTGCCAGCCCCTTCCCTATCGACTGTCCAAGGCTCTAAATGACTTGTGACCAGAGCCCAGGATAGCTTGGTGGGGTGTCCCTGCAGCCTCTGCATGAAGCCCCTGCTCTACAGGCCTCACTCCCTGCAGAACCCTGCCCTGCCCACCTGCAGTTCCTCAACAGAAAGGCCATTCCCACTTCCCCTAGAGAAGCAAGGAGGCCAAACCTAAACCATCCACCCACGCAGACCAGAGCCAGCCTCAACCGCTGCCTGGATTCTGGCTTCCATGTATTAGGGGCAAGTGATAACTGCTCCTGCAAGGAGTCAGGCCAGACTTAGTTTGGGAGCAGGGTGAGATTGGGAGGGAGCCACTTCACCCCAGGATCTGTTCTAGGGCTCCCCGCCAGCCCTTTTCCTTTAGAGGCTGGTCTTTGGGAGGCAATAGGCCCCCGTGCCTGGTCAGCACCAATTCAAGCCATGCCAGGAATCTGCCCACCTGCCAGGTTCAGTTCTTTAAGGTGCCTCTTCAGGGACACAGTGTGTCTCTCTGATTAGGCTTCTAAATCAAAAGCCTGATGTTCGTGTCCCTCTCATAGGGGGAGCTTTGGACACAGGACCAGTTTGGAAAGGGTCAGGTAAGAGTTCCCACTCTGCACATTGTAGAGGGGACACTCTGTAGGCCCACGGGTCCCTTACTCCAGAGAGGTTGAGTCAATTTGCCTTCAGTTAACCTGGGACCTCCCGTTTAGTTCTTGCCTCCCAAAGATTTTGACCATTTTGTAAGTGTATAAACGCACCTCTGTGAACAGTGGCCCAGAAGCTTCTTTGTGCTGAAAAGCATGGGAAATCTAAAGGCTTCCATTCCCTGTGAAATGGAGGCCGTTCTCTTCTGCCCCTGCCCTGTTCCTGAGGCTTCAGTCAGGAGGGCAGCCCCCTTGTAAGGCTGTCCTGTGGCCCATGTCTCAGCCAGGCCAAGTATCTGAGGAAGGTAAGCCTGTCTTCCTCTTTAGGTCTTCAGTTGGTTACATGACCACTGTTGGCCCTCAGTCACTTTGTAAAATGCGGTTTTCCTTTGCCTTTTTTTTTTTTTTTTAATGGTAAATACTTGCATTCAAGCAGGGGAGGGAAGGCAGAGGTCTGGCTCGCTGCCCCATTCCTTTAATGCTGTCGGGCCTGCCCCTGGAGCAGACCCTCTTGGGGCCCCATGAGCTTCTTTGCTTGTAGTTATCCCAAGTCTGACATGTTCCATGTCGTGCCACTTTCCAAGAGACCGTTTGGAGGGTTAGGGATCTGCTTCCCACTGTAACTGGGCTATGGGGTTCTGACTACCTTGCTTACAGATTCATGGTTTGATAAATTTGTTGTATTCAAAAACTTGAAATGTAGGACGCCATTAAGTGTCTGTTTATATTTTTGGAATATTTGTATTACTTACAATTAATAAAGCGGGTTTAAAAAAACCCATCCAGGAATGGGTGCTGCTTCCTGACCCTGCTGTTCATTTGGGCACTTACTGGGCACCCTTTTTCCCTCAAAACCCCTTCTGTCGTGATGAAGCTGCAGTACCATGGCTGGGAGACCTCCTGCGGACTCAGCACTGGGCTTCTGCTCAAGGTTCCAGACATCAGGCTGCATTAGCTCTTCTCTGGCCCCCTGTGGAACCAACTTCATTGCCCTCCAGGTGCTTAATAAGCATACGCTTGGTGTCCTATTGACTTCTGGGGATGAACCAGCACCCCCAGGGGATTTGGAGTCGTCATTCTTTTGTGCCCCTTACTGATAGTCCCCAACTGGGGTCCCTGAAACTCAGAGCCCAGCACGGTTCCTGGCACATAGTAAGCACTCAAATATTGATCGGACCAAAGTGTGACCCCCAAGGAGCAAACCAGGATGATGTAATAACACACTCCTGGCCCTTCTACGAGTATACTTCCCCTCTGAGAAATGTCCAGAAGCTTCTCAGTGAGGCACGCTTGCCAAGCCTGGACGTCCCAGGCACTCGGCGGGCAGCTCCAGCCCCTGCCTCCTGTCATCAGCGTAATGCATCTATATAATATGGCAAATTTCATATCCTCCCACCCTCCTCCCTGCATTATTGATGGGCTATGTACTTTTAAAAAATCAATTAGATCAGGGTGTGGAGCTGGAGTTAAAAGAGAAAAGAAGCCTTTAAAAGTCTGCTCTTGTTTTTGCTGTTTTGAATAGGAACAGATAGCGCTTTCCCTCTGGTTTGAATAAGTCAAGCCCAGAGCTAAGGCTGGCCATGATTGGCCAGGACTAGGAAAATGTGGTTAAGATGCAAACCCAAGCAAATATAACCCAGTGTCTGTGCAGCCATTACTAAGCTCAGGCAGCAGGACCTGGTGCCTCCTGCTTTGGGGTGCTGCTTTAATACCGCTGCTGCTTACTGAGAAGACGGTGGGAGAGAAGGCAAGGTAAGGTCTATTTGGTTTATGGGTGCACGTCAGTAGAGCTAGCCTACTGAACAAGGAAGAAACGAAGAGGAGATTCAGATTTCCCTGGCTTTGTCTTGAATGAGGCTTTTATAGGATTGAACCAGGAGTTTGTGACCAGTTTTGCAAACTTCCTATTGAGATATCAGGGCCCTTTGTAGAGACCACTAAGCGGCACAGTTTTAAAGGCTGGGAAAGATAGAGAAGACCCCTTTCACCCACTTCAGAAAGATGGGAAGGGGCAAGGCAGAAGTTAAGAGCAGCTTCCTCTGGGGTCCATGCGTACGGATATCTGGAGGAATTAAGGGCCACTGGCTTTTAACCTGGGATTTCAAAACTGCAACCCACCCCAGGGTTTTTTGCAGTGATCTCAAAGGGTGCTGAATTAATAAGGACTTGGGGAGGACCGAGGGAATGGCTGAGTTTGGGGGGAATTTGATGTCACAGATGGAATCACATTTTCTAGGTGTTCCAGTGTGGGAGGAAGTATATTCTTTGAGCCTGTCCTCTGTGCATTTGGGGGGCCCTGGCCCAATGAACTCCTTCCTGATTGCTAAGTCCTTGCTAGGAAATGGAACTGCTTTTGGCTTCTGAGACTCAGTCCTAATTAATGGCAGCTGGTTTGGCTTTTACCAGATTGATACTTTTCTACAAGGAATGAATTCATTGGCCTTTTCCCCCTTCCCTAGTTGGGTCACAGCATTTACCTTTAATGACTGAAATCTAGGGTCTGAAGAAAACCTGAACAAATATTTCCTGGTAGCTCAGAGCAGCATAGGGTGGGGCAGCTTAAGTTATCAAATCCTGCAACAGTGGCTGCTCCGCGTCACTGCTCTGCTTTAGTCCTGCCTTAGCCGTAGACAAAGGGAGTTTGTTTTTGTGTTTTTGTCAAAGTCCATACTAGATAATGGCCCATGTTCTCCAAACCTGGCTTCATCCACCAAGGCTTGAGGAGAGAATGACCAGACATGCACGCCTGAAGCACAAGCACAGTGTGCTTCTCAATAGCAAAGCTCCACACAGTCCTGTCTGGGTGGGTTTTCATCTACGTAGATCCATCAAGCCTGTCCTTTCCCTTAGCCCCTCGGGAGCATTCATCAGTCATGTGTAGCATCAGACTGCAAGCTCCTTGAGAGCAAGAACCAGGCAGGCCTTTTAATTATATAAAGCCCCTCTGTAACCAGGGATGTGTGTAGGTGCATGATAACCCTGAATAGATAGATAACGCCTTGAATAGAGATGTTGCATGATCCACGAGGGCGTCTCTTTACCGCTTTCTCACCCCCCTCCCCGCCCCCCCAACCCCAGGCCAGACACAGCACTGCTGGCCCTTTAGGGTCTGCGTGGGAGGCTGCCTGTGGGGGAGGGGAAGAAGGACATCTGCCCACAGGCAGACCAGGCCACACCCACCTTCCCCTGTGGCACCTGCGCCCTTTGTCTCAGGCCCAGCCCTGCCATTGCACTTTCCCTTATCTTCTGTGAGGTACAGGGAATACATTAGTCATAAAACAAAAACAGGACAGGTTGTTTGAGTTTTAGGGTAGTTTCCTTAAAAGAAAAAAGTCTGGAATGTAAAAGCCCAAAGAGAAGGTCAAAGAGTTGACTGTGGAGAGGATCTGGGAAGAGTTAGAGGGGATGAGAGTGAGAGAAAGCAACCCAGTTTAAAAATATTTATTCTTTTATTAGTTCCAGGTGTACAAAGCAACATAATAGTTAGACGTGTGCACCCCTCACAAAGTGATGACCTTCCTCCCCCAAGATACCACCCCTGTGACATCTTCTATACCTGTTACAATACCATTGACTATCTTCCTTATGCTACACTCCACCTCCCGTGACCATATATATATATAATATATATATATATATATATAAAATTATAGTTGACATACAGTATTATTCTATTTCAGCTTCAGCTTAGAAATGTTTATTCTGACATAAGCTTTTCTCCCCATGTGCCACTGAGTTCAGATAAGTTTAGGGAGGGCTGCAGTACATCACAGTGACTAAAAGCAGAGTGACTAAGAACAGTTTAGGTTCGGATACAGATTTCATTCTAGTGTATGATTCTGGGCAAATTATTTAACCTCTGAACCTCTCAGTTTTCCTACAATGTAAGGTAAAGAAAATATACTCCGTTTATGAAAATTAAATGAGATAACAATGTGAATCAACACAGGGCTTAACATATTTATCAATAAATAATAAATCAATAAATAATCGTGGCTATTACCAGAGGTCTTAATAAGGGAAGTGGCAAGTGGGAAGCAGAACTTCCGGGTGGGGATCCCGGACCAGCCAGGCTAACGATGTGAACTTGGACAAGTCATTTCCCCCATCACTGAAATAGCACAGGGATGCACCACAAGGACATGACAGGACGGCTGACGAGATTGGGCAGTGACTTAGGAGGAAAGCTGGATGGATGCCTGCTGGGAGAGGCATCATCTCCCCCCATGCTCTGTGATGTTTCAGTCCCAGGAAGACAAGAGCCATGTCTCTGAGCAGCGCCTTCAGGGCTGTGGGCAACGACCCTGGGATCATCACCTGGAGAATAGAGGTGAGCCGGGCAGAAGCCACACCTTCCTCCTCACCCTGAATCGGGGCAGAGTCTGGCCACCCAGGCCTGCTACATGACAGCCCTCCAGCACTCCCTGGCCCACTGAACAGTGAAAGGCAGTGTCAAAGTGCCCATTTTCCTATCCTTGACCCCTCCTGGGCACTCAAAGCAGGTGGGTGGCATGTGGAAGAAATGTTCTTGGCCTTGGAGAATAGGGCTCCAAGCAAAAATAAGCTTGCTCTTTATCCAGCCATCTGCTCAGTGAGCCTGCATTGCTAGTGAATGCCCTGGAGAGATGGGTGGGGCCTGGGCCCACCCAGGAGAGGGATACTCCTGGCTGCTTCTGTCAGAAAAATGGAACCTGTCTCCCACACGGTGCTCCGGCTCCGGCAAAGTAGAGGGGAGGTTTGAGGGCGCTGCACAAATTGGGGCCATGGCTCATCCCTTCTCCCACCTGGGCTTGAGCTCCAGCAGTTTATAGCTGGGAATGGCCCTCGCCAGGGCAGCCCCACCTGCCAGATGTGAGGACCCCCACCCCACCCCCATCTCCCTGCTATGAACCCACTGAGTGGCTGCTGCATACAACCCAAAGGTGATGCCTCACTCCACTGTCCTCCATTAGGAAGGCGGAATCACAGCCTTTAGCAAGCGGCTCCGAGCTATGAGAGGCCCAGCTCTCACTTCCATTGTTTTAAGGCTTCCAGTTTCTTTAAAAACCAATAGGTCCCAAAAGAGTATGGAAATCATGGGATATTTAACATTTTTACATTTAACACACACATTTTACATAGAATACACACAAGTATGACTGCAGGTTTACTTCACTTGTAAGTAGTGATGAAAGTTCATATTTGAGGCCATGTGAATGGCCCTCCTGGGACAAGCCAGACATGAAGGTGATAAATCATGGCCCCCACTCATACTCCAAATATGGGACACTGGCCTTGGAGCCCTGCACACTGCTTGCACTCGCGCCCCCACTGCCCCACAGAACCCTGGCATTCTGTGATTTCAGACCTTGGCCAGCACTGTGCGGTCAGCACTGGGGAACAGTGATGGAGGCACTGGTGCCGCTGCTCAGAGGCGGGTGGGGTTTTACTTTATAGATTATATCCAACTCTTTCCCTGCAACGGGCTGGAGGTGGCTCACAAGGCAGCAAGACAGGACCAGGCAGGCAGTGGGGAGGAGAATGGGGCAAAGACAGGTGCCCAGATTCAGACTGGGGCCATGCAGGTCAAGCTCGGAAGACAGAGGGTGGCCAGGCTAATCCTGCAGCTCACTGCCACACCCTATAAGATCAGTGGGGACATCTCCCCTACCTCTCCCTGCTGCCTGAGCCAAATGATGCAGAGGCTAGGGAGGCTAGGGGTGGGGGGAGGGGAGGAAGCAGGAATGCAGCCTATACACACCCCTTGTCCTTCCAGAAAATGGAGCTGGCGTTGGTGCCCCTGAGTGCCCATGGCAATTTCTATGAGGGCGACTGCTACGTCATCCTCTCGGTGAGCACCATCTTCCCCAACCCCTCCCTCCCCCTTCCCAAAAGCTTCTCCCCTGAGAGCCAGGCTCCACTGAAAGATCTGCCAATGGTGCTAATCAGGCCCCTGGCATTGGTCTTGCTTATTCAGAACAGGCCTCCAATTTGACTATTCTTAGGCCAGGGTTTTAAATTTTGCATCAGAAGGTGGGGGTGGGGCTCTCAGTCTGAACCTGAGTGAGTAGCCCACAAGCAGCACTTCTCTCTCTGAGGGCCCAGACTCCAGATTAAAGAGGTGTGAGGAAGGCCAGCTAAACACAGGCCGTCACTAGCCTCAAAGTGCTCATTTTAGTTGAGGAAGCAATATCCCACATGAACAGTGCTGACAGAGCCATGCAGCCGCACAGATCAGCCCTGTGCCAGCTGTGTAACTGCAGGGGAGCAGAGGGGCAGCAACGTAAGTCTGCAACCCAGCTCAGAAAAGGTCCCCATTGGTCTCCATATATTTTGAGACCAATAAACTGTCAACTTTTCCCAAATGTGGGGAGGAATCGGGGCTGCCAGGGCTTGAGCCACACAGCGGGTCTACACAGGGGCTGCTGGAGGAAGGGGGACGTCCGGAGTCTGCCAGGACACAAGCCACTGTAAGCTGCACTCTTCCCAGGCCAGAGGGGCCAGCCGCAAAGGGGAGGCGAGCTGACCCTGACCTGATCTCTCTGGCTGCACCCCAGACCCGGAGAGTGGGCAGTCTCCTGTCCCAGGACATCCACTTCTGGATCGGGAAGGACTCCTCCCATGAAGAGCAGAGCTGTGCAGCCATCTACACTACACAGCTGGATGACTACCTGGGGGGCAGCCCCGTGCAGCACCGGGAGGTCCAGTACCATGAGTCCGACACCTTCCGTGGCTACTTCAAGCAGGGCATCATGTGAGTAGTTACGCATACAGCAAGGGCATAAACGGCAGTTTGCCGAAGAGGAAACCCAAAGGGCCAATCAGTATATGAAGAAAGTAATCAGAGAAATGCAAATCAAAACAAAGCTATCATTTTCGCCCACGAGAGTAGCACAAACTAGAGAGCAGGGTGGTGCCAAGTGTTGGCGAGGCTGTGGGGAAATAGGAGCCCTGGTGCCCTGCTGGTGGGAGGGAGGGCTGGCACAGCATTCCGGAGAGTAGTCTGCTGCCACTGAGGCAAATCCCAGTTCCGGACATGTGACTCAAAGGAATTCTCACGTGCCCAGCTCCATAAGGGCACACGAACCAGAAATGTTCACAGCACTATCGTTAGTGGTGGTGGGAAGCTGCAGGCAACGTAGAATGCCCACCACTCGGAGGCCGGGCAGGAATAATACTCCATGGCACCAAGGAGTGCTGAGCAGCAGCTGGAAGCAACGGATTAGATACATACCTAACAGGCGGACACAGCTTCAAAACATGGTGCTTAGTGAACACAGTAAGAAATCGCCTTGAGATAAGTGACAGAATGCCAATTTCTGTTTGTTTGTTTTTTTAAAATACATGAACAAAAAAACAACAGGACACATTTTACCAGAATGAAAATAAAAAGATATGTGTTAAACTGTTAGAGTGGTTGCCTGTGGCGGGGAGAGGACTGGGAGTAGGGCTTGCAGATAAAAGGGAACACATCAATACTTAAAACGAGAGAGGGGTCTAGGAAAGGCCAGTGACGATACTGTTCCATGAACTGAGGTGTTTCATTAATTCAAAACTTTGCACTCGAGACTGAAAACAAAGAGAAATTCCAATGAGCTCGAGAATTCTGAGGCTGGTCCAAAACCAGCTTCTTGCAGATCAACAGTCCCCACTGACTGAGGACCTACTAGGCACAGAGCACCACACTGAGTCACCAGGGAACCAAAGACAAAACCCCTCTGCTCCAGGATGGCTTTCTGCATGCCCTTCATGATTGGGATGCCTGGGGAGGCTGGGCTGGGGTGCGTGCCAGGAGGAAGAATGGATTTCTGGAGTGGGTTGGTCTTAAGTCCATGGGGTCATTAATGCTTCTGCTGTTTCCTGGCTTGTGTCTCTCTCCCTGTCACACACTGATAGTCACACAGCAGCTAGAACAAAACAAGGTCTTCCACGCTGCACGCTGCGGGGTTTTAATCACCATGTTCCCTCTGCCTGGAGCACTAGTTGTCTGGTTGTTGGTTTCTAGTCCTCTTAATATCTCAGCTGGAATGTCACTCCTTCCCAGAAAACTGCCCTAACCACTCTGTCAGAAAGTCCGTCACTGCATCTGACTTCTGTGGCAGCAGTTACCACCATCTAGATTTACCTGGCTTATTTACTGTCATCTCACTCACATGGGCAGAGACCGCGTTTGTGTAATTCACCATTGCCTCCCCCATACCAAGCAGGTGTTCAATAAATAACTGAAGGATGTTCCCTCAGATACAAAAAGGGGGGTGTGGCTTCTGGGATGAAGCATGTGGAGACCAACACCTACGATGTCAAGCGGCTGTTACACGTGAAGGGGAAGAGAAACATCAGGGCCACTGAGGTAAGTCCTGCTCAGTGCCTGTCCTGGGCTCAGGGCCTCTCTACCTAATAATTCCTCCTGAAACGTCTACTTCTCATCTGCAGGTGGAAATGAGCTGGGACAGTTTTAACCGAGGAGATGTCTTCTTGCTGGACCTTGGGAAGGTCATCATCCAATGGAATGGTCCAGAAAGCAACAGCGGGGAGCGCCTGAAGGTACCGCTCCTCCCGTCTCCCCGCCCTCTCCTCTCCCTCAGGCCTGGCCATGGGACTTGGCTCTCTCAGGGGCCTTTCCTTTCTTCTTTCCCCATTGGCTCTTCCCCGAGATTCAAGCCGGACCCCTGCTTTGGAGTAGAATCTGTTTTAGAAAGATGCCAAGTGACTCACCCTGGGCTTCTCAGCATCAGGATAACTCCTGTCTGGGATCCAGGCGGTTCCTCCCAAAGCCATCAGGCAGCAAGGGGGCCCAGCGGAGCTGAGTGCCCCCATGGGCTTCTTTGACAGGCTATGCTCCTGGCAAAGGACATTCGGGACAGGGAGCGAGGGGGCCGTGCTGAAATAGGAGTGATCGAGGGCGACAAGGAGGCGGCAAGCCCGGAGCTGATGAAGGTCCTTCAGGACACCCTCGGCCGGCGCTCCATTATCAAGTCTGCGGTCCCCGATGAGATCGTTGATCAGCAGCAGAAGTCAAATGTCATGTTGTATCAGTGAGTAGCAAAACCTGGCTGCTGGTTGGAGGCTGGGGCAGGGGAGAGTTGTTCCCTCGACACCTTGTGGAGACCCTAGAAAACTGGGCACTTTTGCTTGGCTCCCCGTTTGGGGTGTAGGTGTCTGGCTTTTAGTCGTTTTCAAATGCAGCTTCTAGAAGTTGCTCAGTGCTCCCCACTCGAGGAGGCAGCTGCCATCTGTTCTTGTCAGCAACTCTTCTTGGTCTCTTGGAGAGACCGTTCCTTTACTCAGCTCTATACATGCCCAGGAATGTAGACGGGATAATGTTGAGAGAGAGATGCACAAAAGTCTCCTCTAGAGAACGAGTCCCTCGTAGCCTGCCGGCATTCAAGCCACACCTGTCATAGGAAGTCAAACTCTACTCAGAAACTCCAAAGCCAGGAAAATATCAAATGACTACAAGAGGCTTTGTAGAAAAGAAGGCACAGGCTAACCGCTCCCCTTCTCCAGTGTCTCAGACTCGGCCGGGCAGCTGGAGGTCACAGAGGTAGCAACAAGGCCCCTGGTCCAGGACTTACTAAACCATGATGTAAGTAGAGCTGGGGTGGGCCTGGCTTAGGGTGGCCAGGCCCAGCCCCGGAGGCAGACTCTGGGGAGAGGCCTTCCTATGGTCTTCAGCAGCAGTAACCACTTTTATCCTTGACTGCTTCAGGACTGCTACATCCTGGACCAAAGTGGAACCAAGATCTATGTGTGGAAAGGAAGAGGAGCCACAAAGGCTGAGAAACAGATGGCCATGTCTAAAGCCCTGGTAGGAGCTACAGATGTACAATACTGTCCAAAAATTCTGGTCAGTAACACTTTAGATGTGCTCAGAGAGCCTTACTAGGCACTTGAGCAGAGGACATCACAGTTATATTGGGTCATCGGAAAAGTCATGACGTATTTTTTCTATGTTTTTCGTTGCAAAAATGCATCATGACTTTTCCGACAACCCAATATACATGGACTTGCAAGTCAGACAGACAAACTGGGATTCAAATTCAGGCTTAAGATCATCTCCTAGTGGTGTTGCAAGGATTAAATAACACTGGTAAAGCACTCAGAACAGGACCTGGCACACTCACAGCCTCAGTGAAGTGTGGCTGTTATTACTGAAGGGGATAGATACCACTTACCAAGGTTAGTGGCCCTGTCCTCAAGGAGCTTAAGCTATTATGCAGACCTATGCAGATGAACCAAGCAGGGTGCACTTACAAAGCAGTAAACGGGCACATGGATGTGGTACAATCAGTAGAGCACATGAGTGCTGGAAGAACAGAGGATAAAGGATCTTGCAAAACAAATTAGTAAAAATCATGACAGGCCAATAAAGAGATGCCAACATGTTCTGCTCAGTCCTTTTCTTGAGGCAGGTAACTTGGTGCCTAGACAGAGTGAGTTAGAATTTGACTCCCAGAAGAGAGCTATCCTACTAACTGGCTTCAAAAGGGTGAATCACTGGCCAAGCAAAGAGCCCAGGGCATTCCCTGATTGACCTGCCTTTTGGGGATGGGGTTGTGTGTGCAGAACTTCATCACAATGAAGGGCTACCCCAGCAGCACCAATGTGGAGACTGTCAACGATGGTGCTGAGTCAGCCATGTTCAAGCAGCTGTTCCAGAAATGGTCAGTGAAGGAGCAGACCATGGGCCTGGGGAAAACGTTCAGCATCGGGAAAATCGGTGAGATTGCCCCGGATTGTCTTCTCACTGCTGGGACTCTAGAAAGGCAGGCGCGGATGCTTTTCACCTACTTGGTTTCTCCCAACCCCTTCTCTGCAGCTAAAGTTTCCCAGGACAAATTTGATGTGACTCTGCTGCACACTAAACCAGAGGTAGCTGCCCAGGAAAGAATGGTTGATGATGGCAATGGAAAAATTGAGGTAAGCCTCATGATTTACATACATCTCAGGGTACGCAGGTAGCACTGGCTCTCCTGGCTGTTCTGCTGGAGAAGAGGAGGCAGGTGACTCTGGGTCTGTTTTGCTTTCCTTTTCACCTCCTGTGCCTCAGAAGTATTATCCAGGAGGTATCCAAGTCTGCAGAGTTTACCCACAGTTCTTCAGGGAAGTGAAAAGCAGATATCCCGGTGAGCTATCAATAGCTCATCTAGCAAATCTATTCAAATCATCTCTAGCTGTGATGGGGAGGTGCCTGACCAGGGATGACCCAGTTCTCCTCCGGATTCAAATCATGCAAATGTGATAAGCCCTCACCACTGGGAAAGCAGCACCAGAGGGGGCAGGGGGACTTTGAGTGGACAGACGTTAAGTGCCTTTACCCATAGGGATTCTCTGCTTCTCACGGCCCATTCCTTTCAGGCAGCTGTCGCTTCAAATAGGACCCCCATGTCTGGGGAATTGTGTCTCCTTCTGTGCCCAGGTCTGGAGAATTGAAAACCTGGAGCTGGTCCCTGTGGAGCATCAGTGGTATGGCTTCTTTTATGGGGGAGACTGCTACCTGGTTCTCTATACGTATGAGATAAACGGGAAGCTGCGTTACATCTTGTACATCTGGCAGGTAGGCCTGGGGCAGGCTCTCGGCTTTGAGAGATGATACTTCCCCTGGCCACTGAGCTGGGCAGGGGCAGCAGGGGCCCATCCCTCCCCTGTCACCACTGCAGGGCCGCCATGCCTCCCAGGACGAGCTGGCAGCCTCAGCCTACCAGGCGGTAGAGGTGGATCAGCAGTTTGACGGGGCCCCTGTGCAGGTCCGGGTTACCATGGGCAAAGAGCCTCGCCACTTCATGGCCATCTTCAAAGGAAAGCTGGTAATCTTTGAGGTGAGAACCCGCAGATAAAATTACACCTTGGGCAGGAATGCTCAGAACTAAGCCAGCAGGGGCTACAGTGGAGGAGAAGAGGGGTGGGGAGCAAGGCTTGGGGTAGGCTTGGACAAGAGGGGTTAATTGAAGACACTAAAATGAATCCCAACTGCCCAGGGATTCAAATCCAAATCATCGCCTCATTCATGTTCACCGACTTTCATAACCTGACCCATATTACCTGTGAAGGCGCACTAATTACCCTCAGCTCCCTAACCTACACCACACTCTGCTCGTCAGGCGGGTCTCCTCGCTAGACCTCACATGTGCCGTGTCATGGCCTGTCCACCACCCTCGCTGAACGTCCCCCTTCAAATTCAAGTCCTACTTCTTCCACGAACCCCTGGCTGAAACACTACCAGAAATGTGCAGTGTCACCTGCTTGATACACACAAGTCTGTGGTCAAGTCCCAGTCTTGTCATTTATTAGCCAGGTTTCTAAGGCTCAGTTTCCCCATCTGTACTGTGGATCATAATACCTACTTCACAGAGTTATTTGGAGGATCAGTGAAATGATGTAGGTAAGGTACTAGCCACAGAGCCAGGCATGTAACAGAGATCTCAGAATGAAAGCTGATATTACTGGTACCATAACTCCAGCTCACCCCACCTCTCCCACCTTAGCCTATAAGCTCCTCAAGGGCAAAGATGGTGACAAATACATCCATGTTCTCCACAACAGCCAGCCCAGGGCTCTGCTCACATGCGCGTCTCAGATCTAGACTCTGCATTTCTCCTTTTCTCTAGGGTGGGACTTCCAGGAAGGGAAATGCTGAGCCCGATCCTCCCGTAAGGCTCTTCCAGATTCAAGGAAATGACAAATCGAACACCAAAGCAGTGGAGGTTCCAGCCTTTGCCTCCTCCCTAAACTCCAATGATGTCTTTCTGCTGCGGACCCAAGCAGAGCACTATCTGTGGTATGGCAAGGTAAGACGGCTGGGCCCAGTGTCACACCAGTCCTGCCCCCACCCTCCTCTCAGCAAGGGCAAAGGAACTAAAGAGAGTAGGCTGGAGCAGTCTGCAAAAAGAGGAGCCTTTTTTCTAAAGGATCTTTAAAGGGACCACCAACATTCCCCACAAATAGGCCTCCAATTACAAAGTTAATGACAGCACTGCTCAGGCCCAGGAGATACTCCATAAACTTCATAAATAAATGGACAGAGGCTGAGTAGGTCAACCTTTCCACACGAGTTTCATGGAATATAATAGGACAGGCATTACCACTGAACGAAAACACTAAAAATGGGATTTTGTCAATTCAGATTGTGTCTGCATTAAAAACCACTAAACTTGTTTTACAAAAGAGAACTGAACAGGAAAAGATGCCCAACAAGATGCCCAACATCATTGATCATTAGGGAAATGCAAATGAAAACCCCATGAGTTACCACTACCTACTTATTAGAATGGCTAAAAAATTTGACAATATCAAGTGTAGGTGAGGATGCAGAGCAACAAAATGTTCACATGTTGCTGGTGAGAATGTAAATACAGCCTTTGAAAAACAATTTGACAGTTTCTTATAAAACATACACTTATCTATGATCCAGCAATCCCATTTCTGGGTATTTACCCATGTGAAATAAAAAACTATCTTCACACAAAAACCTGTACATGAATGTTTATAGCACCTTTATTGTAATCACCAAAAACTGGAAGCAACTCAACTGGAAAATGGATAAAAAACAGTGGTACACCCATACAATGGAATACTCCTCGGCAACACAAAGAACAAGCTGTGATACCCACGACAAGGGTGACTCTCCAGTGCATCGTGCTAAGTGAGAGAAGCCAGACTCAAAGGCTACATAGTGTATGATGCCATTTATGACCTTCTGGAAAAGGCAAAACTATTGTGATAGAGAAGAGTAGTGGTTGCCAGAGGTTAAGGATTTGGAAGGGTTTTGGAAGGGTTTGACTACAAAGGGGTAAGCCCAAGAGAATTTTTTGCAGGGGAGAAGCAACTGTTCTGATTCTTTGTTGTGGTGGTGGTAACATGATTCTATGCATTTGTCAAGACTCATAGAAATGTATGCCAAAGAGTCAAGTTTCCTGTACATAATTTAAAAAATAAGTTAAAATTTTTTTTCTCTTCAAAAAAAGAATCAAAAATAGGTGCTAAAATTCCAACTGAAGCCAAAGCAAAGGAGACTTTTGTTCACATCTATTGTGTTTCAGAGTCCAGTCCTGTTCTTCGCTCCGCCCCTCGCCCCCTTCCCAGCACTAGAACAAACCTATCTCCCTGTCCTGAGATACTGTGGCTTGATAGCTGATCCTGGCTACACTGAGCTACTGGACTCAGCTTTTTTCCCACATCAACGTGCTCGCGTGTGACTAACATCTGTGTTCTCCTCACCCAACTCACAGGGGTCTAGTGGGGATGAGCGGGCAATGGCTAAGGAGTTGGCCGGGATTCTCTGCGATGGCACAGAGGATGCTGTGGCTGAGGGCCAGGAGCCAGCTGAGTTCTGGGACCTGCTGGGAGGGAAAGTTCCCTATGCCAATGACAAAAGGTAAGGAACCACAGCATCCCCTCCTCTTGGCTCCCCCTGCCTTCCAGGCTGGTGAACTGCACATGATTTCTAAGCAGCTTGGTTCCTGACTGACTGTATTGCAGATTACAGCAGGAAATCCTAGATGTCCAGTCCCGTCTCTTTGAATGTTCCAATAAGACTGGCCGGTTCATTGTCACTGAGATCACAGACTTCACCCAGGATGACCTGAACCCAGGTGACGTGATGCTCCTGGACACCTGGGACCAGGTAAGACATAGCCAGAGAGACCTTGGGATACATGACAATGATCCTCACAGTTTCGGCTGTTTTTGTATAGTATCTCCCCCGACAGGATAAGCCCAGGATAGCCCTGGGCCATCCCCAAATCAATTAAGCAATTGTCAGTGGCAACCAATAAAAGAGCTTGCTTTTTGCCAGGGTTGGAGAGAATAGAATATTGTTTAAAACTCACCCTCCTGGGAATTTTCCCACCTTGCTCTGGGAAAATCAGAGCATTCTATCATCATGCACTTCCATCTCTCAGGATCAATAGCAGCAGGCTCCATACCCAGAGATATGGGCCTTTTGGGGAACAAAGGAGTGAGAGAGTGATATCTTCAAGGCAACCCCTCTGTGACATCCATATTCTTCAATTTGGCTAAGCAAACCCACTCTGTTCCGGTCACTATGTTAGGTGTGGTGCCACCAAGGTGAAGAGGCCCGTGCTACTCGCAGATTTTATAGGGTGTGGGGTGGGGACGGGACATAGAAACCTAATTTTACTGTGATGAAGGTACATACGAGGTGCCATAGGAGCACAATTAGGGGCACTCATACAGTTTAGGGGCTCAGATGACTTCCTGGAAGAGATGGCTCCCAGGCTGAATCTCAAAAGATAAGTAGGCATTAAATAGGAAAAGAGGGCAAAGGAAATAGCACAAGTAAGAGTAAGGATGAAATAGTCAAGTAGACAGGAAACTCCGAATACTATAATCAGAGCATAAGACAGAGTTGAACAGCACCCTAAAAATGGAGCTGACGAAGGAGGGATGGACCTTACCTATCATGTCAAGAAATTTGAGATTTAGCCTGGAAAGCTACTGAAATTTAAGCAGGTGAATGACAAGCTCAGACTACGCTTTAGATAGAGCACACCAGCAAGTGTAGGTGAGGAGAGATGGGGGTGAAAACCAAAGACCATGATGGGAGGCCGATCAGTAGACTATTGGAATATTCCAGTAAGAGCTGCTGTAGGCCTGCACAGGAGCAGTGGAGTAGGGATGGAGGGATGGAGACAGATTTGACAAATGCATAGGAGGTAAACTGGCTGGCCTTGGTGACTCACTGGATGTGGGGGGCGTCTAGGATGACTCCCAGGTTACTGCAGTAGGAATGACTGCATGGACGCCACTCACCAAGAATGGAGACACAGACACAAGTTTAGAAAAAAGGAGCTACATTTTGGAGGTGCTATATTTGAAATGCCTGAAGAAAGCCCAGAGGAGGTGTTTACCAAGAAATTGGATTCAGGAAGCTGAAGCTGAGAGAGAGAGAGAGAGCTCAGGACTGGACGTGTAGATATGGGAAATACCCATGGCAATTAAAATCACAAATCGAGATGATTCCAAGAAAAGCTTCCTCTGCTGAGGCTGTGAATTGCTTGAGGGGAAAAGACAGGGCAGGGTTTCTGATCTAATACTTAGTTCTCGGTATGAGTGCATTAACAAATATTCAATCTTTACCACAACAGGTGTTCCTGTGGATTGGGGCTGAGGCCAATGCCGCAGAGAAGGAGAACGCTCTTGCTACAGCCCAGGAATACCTGCACACTCATCCCAGTGGCCGAGACGCTGACACACCCATCCTGATCATTAAACAGGGGTTTGAGCCTCCCACCTTCACAGGCTGGTTCTTGGCCTGGGACTCTCACATTTGGAGTGTAAGAACAGAGAGTGGGGGAAGCTGTTCTTATTGCCAGGGAGATCAGCATTCATGGCTCCGTGGGAAGGTGGGGTACTTGGGCTGAGTAAATCCAGAACCACATTTCCCCCACTCCCTCTCCCCTCCCTGTTTTTTACTTTTCTTCTCTTTCCCACCCACCACAGAACTAAGTCCAATTAGAGAATTCACAACTTGTCTCAGGAATAAGCAGTGTGCATAAGTGACAACATTTAGAAAGTACATTCACACACGTCATCTTTTGGAGCTTTTTACAACCATCCTGATAGCTAAGGCAAACACTGTGTTGCCATGTTCTAGACAAGGAAGCTTAGAAAAATTATTTCTCTAAAGCCGGGGTCAGCAAACTGCGGCTCGCGAGCCACATGTGGCTTTTGGGTACGTACATGTGGCTCTGAAGTAAAATTGAAAATGAAAATAAAACTATCATAGTTTCATTTATAAAAAAAAATTTGTTTTAAGATTTTATTGGGAAATTGGGGAAGGGGAACAGACAAGTTGCTGTCTTTTGGTTCTTCAGTCTAGTTGTGAAGGACGTTGCTTCACTGGCCCATGTTGGTATTGTGATCATTGCACTCTTCCCAGGTGAGGCAGTCACTCACCGGCCACTGGACGGCCGCTCACGGCGGCTCACGGCAGCTCACAAAAGTGCACGCCAGCTGCCAGCCAGCCCCACTGCCTACGCCATTGCCAGCAACTCATGGCAGCCCAGCTCCAGGTTGAGCTGTTGTTCACCATCTTAGCTGTAGAGGGCGCAGCGTCACTGGCCCTCATGTGGGATCCGAACCAAGGCCCTGCTGCTCTGAGCTGGTGTCCCAAGCCAACTCTTAACCAATGCACTATTCCATTTATTAAATTTTTAAAGGCTATTATTCACATAATGGTGATTATGTAAAAATATATTTATGGCTCTCAAATAATTTTTCAGTTGTTGTGAGGGACAGGATTGGCTCGCTCCTCCATCTCAAAAGTTTGCCGACCCCTGGTCTAAAGTCACAATTAACCAGTAGGAAGGCGCCGGGTTTTCCGACTCCTGGTCAACTGTTCTAAGTCTTGTTTGGAGGATTGAGAGGTTAGCAAAGAATGCAGATCATGTTTAGGTACCTTCCAACCTGGCATGAGTCCAGAAGGGAGGATTTTCATTTTTGCTCATCCCTGAATTGTCTTCTGATTCTCTGGCTTTTCTGCTTTTCCCAACGGTACAGACTAGGCCTGAGATGGCCCTCCTCTATATGCAGCACTCCATCCTGTGTTTTCTCTCTTCTTTTCAGGCAGGGAAATCATATGAACAGTTAAAAGAAGAGCTGGGAGACACTGCTGCTATCACAAGAATCACTGCTGTGAGTTTCCTGGAGGAGCAAGTCACAAAGGCATCTAGAGCCAGAAACAGCAAATGCTTACAGATGCCACATGGGCGAAGCCCTACCATGTCCTTCCTAGGATCACTTTAGTGGTCTATTCTGATATGAAGATGGCTTTAATCAGCAATTTTACTTATTTTACTGCCTTCCAGAATTTAGAATAGACATGCTGTTTTAAAAAAACAAAACAAAACACAAAAACACAAATGAAAACAAAAACTAATTTTATTATTCAACTCTCTGTCATTCAAGACAGATTAAATTTACTGGCAGCACTTTTCAGAAATAATAAGCTTCTAACCCAAATGATAGGTTAATTGGTTTCTGACAGTGGAGTCCACAGAAATTCAGGCCATTACCCCTATTTTAATGGCTAAAAAAAGTGGAGCCTCTAGCCAGGAATTCAATAGCAATTTAACATCAGGATGAGTGCACGGCACCAGGTGTCCAAACCATCTGGCAATTTTGTCCTTTGTGCTTCACAAACTCAAGATTTCAAAGCTAATGGTGATGTAGCATCTTTAAAATGTATTTAAGTATGACTTCAATTTGAAGTTATTTAAAAGCTGGAAATGTAGAGCCGAAGTAAAAATGCCAAGAGAAGGGATGTGATCACAATATTTAAATGAAATTTAAGCACAGCATTTATGCCAAACTGGCTATACAGGATTTACCTTAGACTTAATCAGCTTTCCCCAGAAGGACCCCCAAAGGTGAATATTTTAGATTCCCAGATGATTCTGACATGCAGCCAGGTTTGGGGACCATTGTTCTAAAAGGGTGAAGTGTTGTAAACCAAAATGTTAAATGTTATACACAAAGAACTTGGATTGCACAGACCTAAACAGTCTTTTGTCCTGTGTCCACATTTTTATTTTACCTAGGACCTGAGGAACACAACCCTTTCCCTGAATTCTGAGCCAAAATATTACCCTATAGAAGTTCTGTTGAAAAATCAGAATCAAGAACTGCCTGAGGATGTGGACCCGGCCAAAAAGGAGGTGAGTGGCTGAGGGAACTGTGTCTCATCTAAGTGGCGCTCTCCAGGCATAAAGCATCCATCTCAGCATGTGGCCCAGGACAGTTCTGGAACATTGTAAGCACTCATTAGACATTTGAGCTACCCAGTAGCTCAAGCTGAAACCCCAGGGCTCTTTCTTGATTCTTTCTTCCCACCTCCCACATCAATCCATCAGCTAGCCTCTGTCCACTTCTCACTGCTGCCAGTCTGGTCCAGCCACGATGGACGACGGCAATAGCCCTTCAGCTGGATCCCACTCCTGTTCCCTGCAATCTGTTCCCCATAACCAACGGGCTTTGAAAACAGATGACACTGTTCTGTTTAAAACAGCTTGAACGGCTTCCCACTGCACTTAGAAAAGAATCGAAGTCCTGTCCGTGGCCTCCAAGTCCCTATCCAATCTGACCCATCCCGCTCTCTGATTTCCTCTCACATATCACTACCCTTTCCGCTTAGCCCCCTTCAGCCAGTGGCTGCTTTTCCGTTCCTCAGACACGCTCATTCCAGCCTTTGAACCTTTACACTCGGATTGCTCCTGCCTGAAAAAAACATTCTTCTCCCAGATCATCACAGAACCAACTCCTTCAAATTATTTAGGTCTCAGCTCCAGTGTCACCTCCCCAGGGAGGCCTTCCCTGACCACTCTGCCTAACACTGCTCCCCTCACCCCTCCCTTTATACTTGTTCATTGTCTAGCTCTCCCTCTAGTAATACACTTAAGAGCAAGAACCTTGTCTGTCTTGTTCACCATCAAATTCTCAGCTTTTTAGCACCTAAAACAGTGCCTGGCAGATGGTAGGCACTTCTTAAGTTTCGGTTGAATTAATTAACATATTCATGTTGAAAAGAATTAATTTATTTTCCCTTTGAAGAATTTGGAAGCGTCTCTGGATCTTCTACAATGTCTTATCGAACCAACTCTTAAGTATCTGGACTACAACTTTCTTGAAAACAGAGGCCATATCTTTAATAATTTTACTTGGATAGAAAATATTCATTAAGCATCAATAAATATGTTAGGAGAAATATACGCTCTCAATAAGATTTGTATTTGCAAATGTCAGGATAAAAATGTCAGATAAGGGCATAAAGCAAGGAAAACCATCACTCAATTTAGTTCACTAGTCAAAACCTAATGTCTAGAATTCATACATACTATATAACTCATTTCTTGTCCTTCTGGCAAGAAACTGTTGTCGGTTGGAACCCTGAGAGCAGTGAATCCAGTCAGTTCTTCCACAGGCCAAGATGGGGCTCTATTGAAAAACCCTCCAATGAATAATTTAAGTCTATTACAGGCTTTCTGAAAATTCATTGTACTTCCCTCTTCGAGTACCTACCCCTTTTGGCCCCACTCTCCCAAATTCTGTTGGCACTGATAGGTGCTATGTCTTCCCTCTAACTGGAAACTTTGTTTTCTCTCTTAGAATTACCTCTCTGAACAGGACTTTGTTTCTGTGTTTGGCATCACAAGAGGGCAATTTGCTGCTCTGCCTGGCTGGAAACAGCTCCAAATGAAGAAAGAAAAGGGGCTTTTCTAAGGCAAGGAAGCAAACGCCTGTTGCAAGACCACAGAAGAGAGCAGATAGTGCCAATATCAGGAAAGAATTTACCAATTGTTGCCTAATATCCAGCTACTTAATTTAGATAAAATAGGGTCTGCAAATCACAGCATGTCCTCCATTTTTCTCAGCCTTGCATTCCTTAGTTGTTATATGCCTAAAATGTTAACTACCCACTTTTTAATTTTTGTGGCCTTTGGCTAAAGCCTCAGCAGAAAGCACAAAAACTACATGAATCTGGAGAAGTCAGAAGTAAGAGAACAAAAAACTATAAGTTTGAAGTGTTGAAGCAAGGACCTAATTCATTTTCAATTTTAAAATCGGTATTTCCAAAACCTATTTAACCCACAAATCATTGAAATTAATCACATGTATACCCCAAAGCCAAAATCCAAATGCCCAGATTGTATGTGCCAGAGCTTTTTAACTTTTCAAATAAAGATACCTGTATGAGCAAATGGAAGTATTCTGGGTTTGCCTGTTATAGTAATTATTTGATGTTATGTTGGAAGAAATGTCCCAGTACTGGGGAAGTAAAGAGGCACTGTTGAGTGAGCTCTCTGGATAACTGGACCACTGTAATTCCTGTTTCTGGCACAAGAATGCCAAAATCTGCCTTACAGCTGTCCAGGAAACCTCAGTGCCCACCCAACCACACCCTATTATCCAAAAGAGAAATAGGCCCATGTGTTATTAATTTCAGTAATGAGGCCAGAACCAGTGTGTATACCACTGCAGACAACCTTCAAAGCACGCGGCAGACATCAACAAATGAACCACATTTTCCAGACGACTCTAGTTTAAGTCAACAATTCCAAAGGAATCCATGTGGCAGGAGTAATGTAACTGTGAAGTTCCAGGATAGAAGCATAGTCCAAAGCATCACAAAGCGAAAACAGAACGAGCGCGCCACGTCACAGCAGGCGTGGGATGGAACCAGTCAGAATCTTTTGGGGAGGCCATAATAAATCTGTGTTGAAGGGAGCAGCAAGCACAGCTGGTGACGCCTGTTCTCACAGACACTGTCAGTCACTTCAATAAGGCCCACCTGTTGTTTCCTACAACTTGTCACAAGCAAGACACAAAAAAGCTAAACCCAGCATTATGTAAACAAGGAAAAGATTCTACTCTCTTTTTTATATAACAATTTTATTTAGTAACTTTATCCATGAAGTAATGTCATGATAAACTCAAATGAAAAACATTCTGGATTTGAAGAGGCTAAGACAAGAACTTCTTTTTGTAGTTAAGTCCAGAACTAAGAATAACATTCCTTCCTGGGATGAAAGTCTCTGGAACCTATTCAGCCTCTGCTGCCTCTTCACCTTCTCCACATTCAAACCGCACAAAGTCTACCACAGACACGCCCTGAGGCTGCACATACTGTCCCAACGTGATGGAGGGATCCAGCAAGTATGGCTGGGACAGCATCTTGGTTTCTGCCTCGCCTCCAGGCTCATCATCCAGGGAGCCAACAGAGAGAGGGGCCATGCCCACCACATGCTGTCCAAGGCGGCGGCCAATGTCTTCAAGGTTTGCTTTCGGCTCAGATGTCTCGCAGATGACCAGGGCCCCGTACTTCCCCAGCACCAGGTTGTGGAGCGAGGGAATGTGCATGGCTCCATGGACGTAAGAGCCAACATAAAACCCAACTGGCACCTTCACCCATGCGGCTCGTTTAAGAGTCATGTTTTCTCCCAGTTTCCCTATGAAAAACAAAAACAAAAAAACACGCTCCCAGAATATGATGCCTGCGGTAGTACCAAAATACACACAGAGGCGGCCAAGTGTGGAAGACAGTCCCTGCATGTACACTGTGGATACGCTATAAAATGGAGATACCATTTTCGGTTTACAAAGGAAAATGTGTGTGGTGGGGACGGAGAGTACCGTTATGGAGCCCCAATTATGTGCCAGTCCCGCTGCATTTAAAAACACAGGCTATGGTGTAACACAGACCCTGGACTCAGGTCTCAGTTCTGCCTCTTACCAGCTATATGACCTTAGGCAAGTGACTTAATCACATAACTCCATTTACTAATTGATCAAGCCTTAGTTTCTTCATCTGTAAAGTGGACATGCTACCACTTACAATAACATGAAAACAGGGTTATTGGGAGAAGTAAAGAATATATGCAAAAGCATTTATTACAATATTTGGCACATCGTGAGCACTTAAATGCTGGCTATTACTATTAAACTTAGGCTTACACAGCTTAAGTAACCTGTCCAAGGTTACACTGCTAATACACGGCAGAGCTGGAATTAAAACTCAGATCTGATTCCAAGGCAATCGTTTTTTTTCCCCCACCAAATTACCATCCCTCCCAAATACCACCATAACTGACACAGACAACTCCTGACCATCCATTCTATCAGGGAAAAGTCCACAACTAAAAGCCCCAGAAAATCCAAAACCCCATGTCATCTGATGGTTTCAACTTCCTCTCATAAAAAATGAAAAGATCATATTTTCAGAGAAGTTTATGAGAACCAAAAACGGATTCCAGTTTTCCCCTTTCTCTCAGGATGCTCTCCCCTCTAACAGAAGTCCAAATAAGCCAAAAGGCAGGAAGGGGTAGGAGAATAAACAAAGGGGTCTAGATAAATATCCCGGCATTAGCCAAAGTTATATCTAAACATCATAAAGAGAAGTATCCAGAATCCAGAAGGAATCTTAAAAACAGCTCAAAGTATCTACCCAATAGTTAATTCTCAGAAATTGACAATGCTGAAACACCCAATTCTTCCAGAATTTCTTAATAAGTCCCATGTCTGCCTGGTTTCTCATCCATGACTCACTACAACATTATACATACTTCAAGATGACCTGATAAAAACCTAAAATTGGTGCCTTGACTGGAAACATCAGATGAGCAATAAATTCCCAGCAAGCTCCAACCCCAGCCTTACTTCCCTCCCGCCATCAAGGACACAGGAAAAATCCCCACTAGTCCCACCGCAATGATCCAGATACAGTTCCTGCAGCCAGGGGGTTCTGAAAGACTATACCGTCACAAATTCAGGATCAGATTTTTTTAAAAAAGAGGTTGAATTCCTAAAAACAATGCCCCTGCAGTTTCCTGGATCCTTTTATAAGGAAGGTGAATGACCTCTGATGGACAATTTCCCATGCAGTGTACAGAGAAATAGTCAACTGGAAGTCAAAGGGCCATCTCTGCCTAAAGACATGCTTTCTTTGGTCAGCACAGTGATGCCTGTAGTGTGTTGAAATAATTTTAATTTGTTGCAAACAACTAAAAACTGAGATTTTTTGTATACAAATCTAAATTCTTTTAAAGGATTTTAAAAATTCTGACGACACTGGGACCCCATTATCCCCGAGGTAACAACTGGCTAGAGCTTGGTAATGGTTCCGTTTAGCAGAGTGTGAGCTTTTTAGGGTCCTATTGCTCCCTAATATCTAACACACAATACACTTTGCACATTCATATTATCTGAGCCTTGTAGGCCCATGAGCTTGCAATTCTTGATGTAGATTTGGAAGAATACCAAAGATACCGGGAGATCCAGCTCTTAATTTCCAGCTTTCTTATAAAAATACTCACCAATTGCTAAGGCCAGCTGATCCTTGAGAGGGCCTTCTCTCTCACGCCCAGCAGGAAGTTCAGAGAGCTCAGAGGAATTCAGGAAGCCCTAAGTGCACGCACGCACAAACACACACACACACAAAACCGAACATGAATCAGTTCTGTACTATTCAAATTATCAAAAGACTCGGAAAAAATAGCCTATTTCTCGGAAAATGATTTAAGACAATTAAGTATAAATAGATGTTTTCATTATGCCAAAGATGTTAAATATTGATAACAAGTTCCATTTTTATAAATATTTTATTCTATCACTATACCACGTCCAATTCCATCCCTCTGACCTAACTTCTTAGAATGTAGTTTCCTAGAAATCAGAGATAATATTTCATATAGTCATAAAATTTTAAAGCTAAAAAGGTTTGTAAATTATTGGTAGGAATGCAAAACAGTACAAATCCAAAGGAGTTGGACAAGTCCAAAGGAATTGGACAATAGCTAACAAAACTACATATGAGTATACTTTTATCCTTTGACCCTACAATCCTATGTCTAGGAATCTACTCTGGTAATACACTTCCAACAATATGAGCGTACATATGCACAAAGTTACTCACTGAGTAATTATTTCTAATCGTAAAATACTGTAAACAGCCTAAATGCCCAAACATAATTAGAAACCGGTTGAATACACCAGAACACAGCTATATGATGGGATACTATGCAGCTGGAAAAAAGAAGGGAGAGCTCCAGGAGCTGCTATGGATATATTGGTATATTCCAGGATATATTATTAATAGAAAAAAAACAAAAAACAAATTAAAAGAGTATATGCAGATTATACCACCACATATGTAAGAAAGAAATATTTACATAAATACGCTTATTTTTGCAAAATGGCATAAAGGATAACCAGAAACCAATGAAGTTGGTTATCTACAGGAGTGGATAGGACATGGGGTAGAAGGGATAGAAGAGGAGGAAGGCTTCTGTGCGTGTGTGTGTTGTGTGTATGTGTGTGTGTGTGTGTGTGTACACTATAGTTTTAACTTTCAGGACCTTGTTATTAGGTTACACATTCAAAAATTAAATTAAATTAACAAGGACTTGAGGTGAAAACAAAAATTGACTAAACAGAAACATAAGACTCTAACTGTATTTCAAATGAATAACAACCTCACAGAAGGGGGGGGCGGATAACTAAACCAAGTAACTTTCAATAATGTCTTCTGACCACATAATTTCAACATAAAGACAAAAAGAACATCAAAGAAATCTTGAACTCCTTAGTAGGTTTGCTATTTGCAGTGGTCGGGTATAGTAGCTCTAAAACAATGTAGCATGTATTGTAACATTGGGTAAATAAGTAAACATACTGAAGTTGCCAGGAGCCAGTGTACTCACTATGAGAGAAGGAAGATAAAAAGATAGAATGGGGGAAGAAAAGGAAGAACTGTGGTATAGGACTAGAACTGAAACACACACACACACACACACACTTCCTAGTTCTGTCTGCTAAAAGAGCAGAGCAGCAATAACATCTCAGTAGAAATAAGCATGCCTAATGTCCCAGACCTCAGTTTCTAAAAACAACTCCCCCACTAAAAAGAATCAGGACTCCTTAGAGAAGTGAACAATTCCATGGTTGGGGCAAAGAAAGTATGACACAAGCCCAGAATATCTTGCAAGTCAAAAAGTAAAGAAACACTCAGAACATAATGAGGATATATTAAAGGACAGCGGAGGCAGCTTGCACAGGCTCAGCTTGCACTGGCCAAATCCAGGGATAATTTGAGTATCAATTAATATTGGATTATACGATGAACTGTAGCCTATGGTATAAAATAAAAATCCATGAATCAGTGTTGGTATTAAATAAATCGCTCAATAAAGGGAGAAGTCTCTTCCTTATAGAATGCCAACTAATAAAACTAATATATATAAACAAAATTATAAAACAAAAATAACCATTATAAAACTATTATAGTGTGGAGTATAATGTGGGAGTGGAGTCAAGGGAATTGTAACAGATATGTATGATATTGGGGAAGGGGAAGTGAGGCGGTGGATTGGGGGAGGGGGGTTGTCACTTCAAGGGGTAAAAAGTATAACTATTGCACTGTGTTGTACAGCTGAAACTAATCCTAAAAAATGTGTATTTCACAATAAAAAAATAATAAAGAAAGGGGGGGGGAAAATAGTAATAATGGATCGTGCCAAGAATCATGCTAAAACTATTAGGCAACAGTTTTGAGGGCACTGGATGTTTACACAGTCTCAAATAATCTCCTGTACGGGTTACTTGTTAATTACAAAGAGGAGCATGGTGACTTTACAGTGTCGAAACCTGGCAGATGCTACCTTAACCAATAGACCAAAATTAGCATCAATACTGGGACCAACAGTTATTATGTGCCTCCTGATATGATGTACTGAGAAAAATACAGGATAATTTACTATTCCTACAAAAATCCATCTTCTAATTATAAAGAAACATCAGACAAACCCAAATTGAAGGACATTCTACCAAATTGTCCTGTACTCTTCAAAAATGTCAATGAAAGACAAAGACAAGCTGAGGGACAAATAAAGAAGACTGAACAGACATGACAACTAAATGCAACATATGGATTGTATCCTAGATCAGAAGAAAAAAATGCAAGTTGGCAAAATATGAATATGTATTTACATTATACAAATAAAAATATTGTATCAATGTGAAAATTCCTGAATGGTTACTGTGATGTGGTCATATAAGAGAATGTCCTTTTTTTGTAGGAAATATAAGCTGAAGGGATAAAAGGTCCTGACATTGTCTGCACTGTACTCACAAAAGGATAAAAAAAAATTGTGATGATAATAATATGTATATAAAAACTGAAAAAAGCAAATAAAGAAAAATGTCAATAAACGGTGACTCTAGATAAAAGCCCACTGTAGTTTTCTGTAGAATACTGGCAACTTTTCTGTAAGTTTGAATTTTTTTCAAAATAAAAGTTTAAAAAATGAAACTACAGATCAAAAAGAGAAAAAAATAAGTAAAGCTAAAAGGAACCAAAGTCCCCTGTTACGGATAACGAAACAGAAGCACAGGAAAGTGAATGGCTCTGGGTTACAAACAGAGTTAATGGCAAAGTCAAGATTAAAATTTCTATTTCAAGTGGCACATCTACTCAATACAATTCTAAAAAATAATCTCAACACAGTTTTCCATGTAATGTGATTATTTAATGCCAATAACAATTAACTTTTACCATGAGATCTCAAGAAAAGGATGAACAGGAGAAAAAGGATGGTACTAAACACACAAAAAATGGGTAAGTAGTTGGTTCATTTTTGCCTTACAATATGGTTGAATCAAAGGCAAACTGATATAACTCCTTCCTTGACCCTTCTATGGACAATATGATTCTTCTCCTAAATTGTGCCTTCTCCAATACCTTTAGGAATCCTTACCTCAGGCCATTCTAAATTTCTAAATATAAACCTGCACCGGATTTGACTGACTCCATCCAACTGGCAATTCATTCATTCATTTAACACACATATACTGATCCTCAACCAAGGGCTGGGCCCACTTCTCTTTCATCAGAGACATAGTAGTAAAAAGACAAATTTCCCCGCCTCATGAAGTTTGTGTTATATTGGGGAAGACAGACAGAATATAAATAAATAAAAATGCAATAAATAAGCACAATAACAAAAGATTTTTAAATTAAGTAAAATAAGGGAACACAGCCACAGGAGGAAGGGTATGCCTCTCCAAAGAGGTAACATTTAAGCAGAGACGTAATGAAGTAAGAAAGTGAGGCATGAGAATGTCTGAAAAAAGGGAATAGCAAAGGCCCTAAGGGGGGAGGGGGGGTAACAAACCCAGCATGTCGGAGACAACATGTTGGAGACCCCAAAACTCACTTTACTGTATGTGGAGGGTTGATCCTTTAGGCTCTGACAATGCAACATGGTTCCAAGGGCTACTTGCTGGACCAACTGTTGAAATTTTAGATTTCTCGAAACAAAATCTGTCTCACAGTTTACCTGTGGGAACAAATTGATGTTGCTATATAAGCTATTTACTGATAGTTTCCAAAAGTGCCTTAAGTTAGAGAGTAAACCAAGGTACTGACAGAACAAGCTGTAGACGCAACAAAGCAGAAATAAATGACCCCAGAATTTTAAAGCTGCAGTTCCTCTCCTAGTTTGAGGCCAGAAACTAAATGAAGTGACTCCTGCTCTGTCCATGAGTTAGCAGTGATCTGCACATTCAGAAGATGGTTCCATGTCCCCAAAAGACTCACTACAACTTCACCCCTTGCCTGTGGCTGCATGCCATAATCACCTCATTCTCCAGCCTCCCCCAACCACAAACTACTTCTGCTACCAGTTCATTTACCTCCTTCTCTTTAAACTCTAATCCACCCCAGTCTCACTCTGATCCACATCTGACTCTTCAACAATTGTGGCCCCCAAACCTCTAAAACAGCTACTCTCTATCCATCAACTAATTAATATAATTCCTAGTTTTAAAAATCTAACTGTTCCAGGAAAGAATCAGTGACAAGGTGTAAGGCTACACCAGGCTCACATGTAGGAGTAATACTCTAGACTGCTAGGCCTCTTCTCATCAACATACCTGTGTATTTCTATACGCAAATGAATCCACAACTAATAACTGTGATCTCACAGCTTTGTGGCTTTCAAACACCTCTTCTTTAAGAATGCAAAGAGTCTACCGCAAATCCTTACACCAAAGGGACAGCTGTTCCTGGTATCTGAACTTCTGACAACTCACCTCTACTAACACAGTCGCGTTTCCTTCCTGCAGCAGCCCAATCAGGCCTTCTTTAGTCTTCCTCCCATGGAGCTTGGCAGCTTTGCTCCAGCCCTCCTTCTGGGCCTGCTTATGAAGCCAGCTCTCTGCCTATAAATTGAAAAGAAAAAGGGCAGGTGACAAAGTCACAGAGTTTAGAACGAAAGAGGGCTCTAAAATATGTTCAGGTCCCCTGCCTCTTTCTGCTTCCCCTCAAGCCCATCATAGAAACTGAAGTGAGTTATCATTTACTGACAGCCTAACATGAAATGCCAAATACCGGGCATTGTGTCTGTTGCTTTGCATACGTTTAATCTTCACAACCACCTTATGGGGCAGGTAGTAGTGTTTTCATTATATATACAAGAACAATGCAACACCGAAAAGATTAAATAAGGTGTCCAAGGTCACAGGGTTAGTGTGAAGGCACCAGGATTTGAGTCCTGGTCCATGTGACTCCAAAGCTCACACAAGCCCTTTCAGCTCTAAGCAGCAGGAAACATAGCAGTTTTGCATGGAACAGGGTTTGTTAACCCTGGGATCCTGAGTCAATTGCTTCTAAATAAGACAGTCAGTCAAAGGCTGAGGTTGTCATTTAAGTGAGAATCCTATCTAGAGGTCTGCCGTTATGAGTCACTGGACAGCAGGTCTGACGTCTATGCTACCCAGCATGACATCCCTAAAAGATTGGGACTGGGCCCTAGCACTCCTCTCTGCTCCCCTCTCCCGCCTCCCCCGCACCTGTTTGAGATCCCCGCCACAAGTCTCCAGAGCTTTCTTGCAGTTTACAAAGGAATAGCCCGTTTTCCGCCGCAGCTTCATGAGGAGCTCCTTGCTGGAGGCCGAGGAAGACAGCCAGGGCCCAACATGGAACGTGTGCCATGGCTGGGGCGACTGAAGCAGGGGTCCTGCCTGGAGGGGGTCAGAAGAAGGGGATGAAGCAGCAAGGTGCACGAAGGGTGAAAGAAGCACGTCGGCAGGGAGGCGACCTTAGGAGGGGGTGGGTCCCAGGGTTGGGGGAAAGGCAGCGCGGGGGGCTGGACCGAGAAGAGGCAATGAGGTAGGGGGAAAGGTGGGATGGAGACCAAAGGAGCTCAGAGGTGGGAGAGCACAGGAGACCTTAAAGGAAGGCAGGTCGATGCCAGGGCCAAGAGCCCTCACCGAGCAGCTCCCGGTCCGCGCCACCAGGCAGAGGCGTAGAGACCGAAGCAGCGACATTTCTCCGGCCGCCGGACACTACAGCCCGCCGGCGCACAGGTGAGGCCACAGGCCTACGGAGTGGCAGTAGGGCCAAACCTCTCCATCGGAACGCGCCAAATAGGGAGAGTGCCACCTGCTGGTCGGAGGGAGCACTTTCGCTTCCCCCTACGTGGCTTATTGAAACTACTACATTTCAGGAAGGAATTATCCCCCACAGGTGAAACAGGAAACCATGAGACAAAGTCGTCACAAAATAACAGTACAAGACATGTGTTAACACTTTGTTTATTTCAAATGCGCTTTTCATTATCCACTTATGATTCAAGACAAAATTGTGAGGTAGGTGGGTAAATCCAGAAATTTGCCAGAGATTACCTAAGGAGGTAGGGCTGTAGTCCGTCCTATAAACCCAATAAATATTTGTTGAATGAACAGAATATTTACTGAACACCTACAGTGTGCCAGGAACTGTGCTAGGCTTCAGGGAATTAGAGATAAGTAAACCATAATCTAATGATGAAAAAATAGGGAGCAGACATATGACCATACAAGACAAGTTAAGTCCCATAAGATGAACAGTTAAAGAGTGTCAAGGGAGAAAGAAATCACATCCAAACAGGAGGCTCAGGAAATAGGCTAAGCGTAATGAAGATTTTGAACTGGTAGAAATAGCCCTTTCAGGGAGGGAATCATTTAAAAAGAAGGAGAAGGAGAAGAAGAAGAAGAAGAAATAAGTGAGGGAATTTTGGTATGGACTTAGGGAACAAAGGGTAGACCTTTTGTAATTTGGCCCAAGGCTGTAATACATGTTGGAAACCAGTAGGAAATGAAGTAGAGGGTAATTTGGGATCACACAGGACAGACTGAGTACCCAGCAGAGGAGCTTACTCTGACTCCTGTGGGCAGCAGCAGAAGCTAATCAGAGCTGATTTTGGAAGATCGCAAGTGTTGAAGGCCAGGAGTCCAGAGGAGGTGATATGTGGCCCAAGGCGGAAGTAAGGAGAACCCCAACCAGAGGTACCACAGTGGGAAGAGAAAAGAGGTGAAGGCAACACACACTAGGAAAGGAGGACTGAAAGGGCTTGGAAACTTAAAGAGAAGAACCTAGTACTTAGTGATCAGGACCCCAGCTCCAAAAAGGATGAAGTTCAGCCCAAAGGACAGGTCTGCTGCCTAGCCCCAGCTTCAGGCCTGGGAGAACTTGACCCAGTTAGAGTCCCACCAGACCTGAAGAAAGAAATGGGTGGTCTGAGACTTCTTCCTTCCCAGCCCCCCAACAAAAGCCTGACTTCCTTGGATGCAGAAGAGATCTTGAGTGCTTATGTTTTTTTTCCTTTTAAAAAAATTGCTGTAGAATCTGCACCCCCCCACACACACACACACCCAAATCTATTATGTATAAAAAGACAACAGCGGGAGAGGAAGTAATCAATGACAGTCTCTCTGCAGCCCCTACTCTCACATCCCATTTACTTCCCCTTCCCCTAAAAACTCTGGATACTCTCCCATTTTCCTCTGCTGAAAACAAGAGCTGGGAACTTCCTTTGTGCTGTAACCCAGTGTTGCTAGGGGTCTAGGATTCCTAGCAAGCAAGCACCTCCTTGCACCTGCCCAAGAGTATCTGGGGGAACTAAGAAGGAAGGAGGAAACAGAAAGGCAAGGGAAATCCATCCTTTTGGGTTCTTAAGTTTCTGGCTTTGGAGACATGCAGTATCTTCATTAGGACAAGGGGTTCAAAGGAGCAGAAGGATGACATCAAGCAGGTCTTGGTTCCCTGTGCCTGGCCCTATAGATGTTGACATTCTCATCCTCATCCCGCTGGGCCAGCTCCAGTTGGAAATGCTGGGGCAGGAGTTGCTGAAAGAAGCTTTCTGTCCCATGCTCTTCTCTCATCTTGGAGGCCAGATAGATGGTGCCATGGGCCCCGCACAGGTGTTGGAGGGTCCCCAGCAGCAGTGGGAAGGTGGGCTCCAGATACACGATATCAGCCCCCAGCACCAGGTCATAGTCTCCAGGGAAGACATGCTGGTTAATCCCCCAGGACAAGGCGCAGACCTGGGCCCGGCCTCCAGCTGGCACATTGGCCTGGACGTTGCCCTGGATCTGTTCTAGGGCCAGGGGTAGGTCAGTGATGGTAACATCCCCCCCTGAGAAAGAGGGAGGAGAAATGCAAGTCAGAGGGACCAACCAAGGGATTTTGGCTCCTTCCCAAAAGGTCCAGAGATCTCAGGACCTAGAGGAAAATGTTTTGACAGCCCGAAGTCCATACTTTGGCTTTTAGTTGCCCTAACCTCCATCTTACCCACTGCCGTTCTCATTACTCTACATTCTACAACATCAACATTCTCTCTGAGCTAATCTTCAACCTCTCCGCCCCAAACACAGCAATCATACGAGTATGTCAGCAGAAGCCTGGCAGCACTAAGCTGGAGATGGGCTATGCACCCACCCCCTACTGACACAGACCAGCCTTCGGGGGTCTGGAAAGCTTCCCAGAAAACATGACCTCAGTGAGCTTTAAAGGACAAATAGGAGTTAGTCAGGGAGAGTTTTCCAAGCAGTGAACAGAGAGTACAAAGGCCTGGAGGAGAGAGAGCATAGCATATTCAAGGAAGGCTAGATCTTAGAGAATGTAGAAGGGAGGAAAAAAGTATCAAGACATGAGAGTAAAGAGAAAAATGGTTATGACATGCTAAGGAGATTCAGGCTTGATTCTGAGGGCAACAGGTTTTAAAGGTAGAAGTAGGGGGTGAAGATGATCAGATTAGCATCTCAGAAAGTTTTATTCAGGCCATAAACATGTACTGAGCACCTATTAAGCTCTGGGGATACAGTGGTGAGCAAGACAAAACCTCAGCCTTCCTTGAGTTTTATTCTAGAGGTAGAAACACACTAAGTACTGCAAAACTGTTTAATCATAATCATGATGACCATTATAGAAACAGGAAGTATTAAGAATGCATTCATTAATATTTATTACATGCCTATATGCCAGGTACTGAGAATAAACCAATCAGATGAGAATCCCTCTGCTCATGGAGCTTATAGTCTAGTGGCAAGAAATGGACAACAAACAAAATACATAAAATACACTGTATGAAGGGCCGGCTGAGTGGCTCAGTTGGTTAAGAGCTCGCTCAAGAGTTTGAGCTCTGAGTAACAGTGGTTCGAGTCAGCCCGAGCTGAGCAGCCGCGGATCTGCCAACAGGTGGCGGGATGGCTCAGCTAAAACAAAACAAAACAAACAAAACAAACAAACAAACAAACAAAAAAACACTGTATGGGGCCAGCCGAGAGGTGCGTTGATTAAGAACTGGCTTGGGATGCCAGAGGACCCCGGTTTGGATCCCACATATGCGGGCCAGTGACACTGCCCTCTACAGCTAAGATGGTGAACAACAGCTCAACCTGGAGCTGGGCTGCCGTGAGTCGCCAGCGACGGTGTAGGCTGCAGCCCCTGCTGCAGTGGGTTGTCATGGGCTACCTTACGTAGCCAGCAGCCGCAGTGAGCGACCATCTAGAAGCCGGTGACTGATGTGCCTCACCCAGGAAGAGCGCAATGATGGTGCCAACTTAGGCCAGTGAAGCAATGTCCTCCACAACTAGACTGAAGAACAAAAGGACAGCAACTTGTCTGTTCCCATCCCCCCAATTCCCCAATTAAAAAAAAAAATCTTTAAAAAAAAATACACTGTATGTCAGGTGGTAATAAATTACTTTGGTGAGCAGCAAGCAGGGAAGGAGGATACGAACTGCTTGAGGGGCAAGTAGGGAATGTAATTTTATTTTTTATTTTATTATTATTATTTTTTAAGATTTTTATTGGGGAATTGAGGGGAGGGGAACAGTGCTGGGCAATTGGGGGAAGGGGAACAGACAAGTTGCTGTCTTTTTGTTCTTCAGTCTAGTTGTGGAGGACGTTGCTTCACTGGCCCAAGTTGGCATCATCATTGCACTCTTCCCGGGCGAGGCAGATCAGTCGCCGGCTTCTGGACGGCTGCTCACTGCGGCTGCTGGCCACTCACGCTGGCTGCTGGCTACACACGTAGCCCATGGCAACCCACTGCCACAGGGGCTGCAGCCTAAGCCGCCGTCGCCGGCGACTCACAGGCAGCCCAGCTCCAGGTTGAGCTGTTGTTCAGCATCTTAGCTGTGGAGGGCAGTGTCACTGGCCCTCATATGTGGGATCCGAACCGGGGCCCTCTGGCATCCCAAGCCAGTTCTTAACCATCGCTCCACTCGGCCAGCCCGGGAATGTTTTGTTTTGTTTTGTTTTGTTTTAAAGATTTTTATTGGGGAATTGGGGGAATGGGAACAGTGCTGGGGAATTGGGGGAAGGGGAACAGACAAGTTGCTGTCGTTTTGCTCTTCGGTCTAGTTGTGGAGGATGTCGCTTTACTGGCCCAAGTTGGCACCATCATTGCTCTCTTCCCAGGTGAGGCAGATCAGTCGCTAGCTTCTGGACGGCCGCTCACTGCAGCTGCTGGCCGCTCACGCTGGCTGCTGGCTACACACGTAGCCCATGGCAACCCACTGCCACAGGGGCTGCAGCCTAAGCCGCCGTCGCCGGCGACTCACAGGCAGCCCAGCTCCAGGTTGAGCTGTTGTTCAGCATCTTAGCTGTGGAGGGCAGTGTCACTGGCCCTCATATGTGGGATCCGAACCGGGGCCCTCTGGCGTCCCAAGCCAGTTCTTAACCATCGCGCCACTCGGCCAGCCCCGGGAATGTAATTTTAAATTGGACGGTTAGATAAGACTTACCGAGCTGATATATTTGAGGAAAGACCTGAAGGAAGTAATGGAACAAACCAGATGAATCTCTCAGGCTAAAACGCACCCAATGAGGGACCAGCAAGTACAAAGACACTGAGGCAGGACTGTGCCTGGTAGGCCTAAGGAGCAGCAGGAAGTCCAGTGACTGGAGCAGAGTAAGTGAGGAGGATAAGAGTAGAGGCCAAATCCTAACCAGGGCTCTGTCAGGAGACTGTGAGAAATTTGGCTTTTAGTTTGAGTGAGGTAGGAAGGTATTGGAGAATTTTAAATGAAAGAATGACATACATTAACTTATGCTTTTAAAAGATTGCTCTGGGCCCGGCCAAGTGGTGCGTTGGTTAAGAGTTGGCTTGGGATGCCAGCTCTGAGCAGCAGGACCCTGGTTCGGATCCCATGTGAGGGCCAGCGACGCTGCGCCCTCTACAGCTAAGATGGTGAACAACAGCTTGACCTGAAGCTGGGCTGCCAGGAGTCACCAGCAACAGCATAGGCTGCAGCCCCTGCTGCAGTGGGCTGCCATGAGCTACTCTGAGTGGCCGGCAGCCAGTGTGAGCTGCCACGAACCGCCGTGAGCAGATGTCCAATGGCCGGCGACTGACTGCCTCACCCAGGAAGAGCGCAATGATCACAATACCAACATGGGCCAGTGAAGCAGCGTCCTCCACAACTAGACTGAAGAACAAAAGTACAGCAACTTGTCTGTTCCCTTCCCCAATTCCCCAACGCTGTTCCCCTCCCCAAATTCCCCAATAAAATCTTTAAAAAAAGGTCAGAAGCAAGAAGACTAGATAGAAAGTGACTGCAATGACCCTGATGAGAGATGATGATGATGGTTTGAACCAGGCCAGTAGCGATGTCTAAGAAGTGGTTGGATCCTGAGTATATTTTGAAGATAGTGTCAACAGGATTTGCTAATAGATTAGATATGGAATATTAGAGAGAGAGAGAAGTTGAGGCTGTCACCAAGATGGTTGGCCTGACCAAACAGAAGGTTGAATTGCCATTCATTTAGATGTGGAAGGCTGCAGGAGAAGCAGAATTGGACAGGAAGATGTGAGTTTGTTTCTGGACACCTTAAGTTTGAGATGTCCATCAGAGAAGCACATGAAGGTATCAGGAGGTTACACAAACAAGTCTGGAGGTAGAAATGGGCCAGAGTCATCAGCATAGAAAGGGGATTTAAATCCATGAGGTGATGGGATGACTTGGGAGAGAGGGTAGACAGAAAAGAAAAGGGCTCACAGCACTGCTCCTGAACTCTGGGGCATTTAAATTTTCAATTGTGAAGACAAAAGGAACCCACAAAGGAGAATGGAAAAGAGTGCCCCTGAGGTAGGCAAAAACCAGAGGTGCAGAGCCCTGGGAACCAAAGGAAATGTTTTAAAGAGGGAGTGTCAAATGCTGCAAAGTCAGGTAAGATGGGCTCATAACTGACACCTGTATTTAACAATATGGAGTTTGGAATGCAGCTCAGCCTTGACTAGAATAATGGAGTGGAGGGGGCATGGTGTGTGTTGGGGAGAGTCTGATTGGAATAGACTGAGGAAAGGATAGGAAGAGCGGAACTCCAGACAATGAGTATTAACTCTCTTGAGTTTTGGTGTAGAGGAGAGAAACTGGGTGGTATCTGGAGGGAAATGTAGGATCAAGAGTTTTTTCTGAGATAGGAGAAGTTACAGTATATGTATGTGCATTATAGAGAGAGAGACAGAGAAAATGATTCAGAGAGAAGGAAAAACTGATAATGCAGGAGAGTTGAGGGAGGAGAGGTGTTTACTGGAACGTCTTTGAGGAGATGAGGTTTGGTGTCTCGTGACAATTGGAGGGCTTGACCTTAGCTAGGAGCACAGGGCAATCATCCATGGTAACAGGAAAGAAGGCAGCACATACAGACCCAGACGCAGTTAGGTGAGTAGACGCTGTGATAGGGTCACATGGACATTTTCTATGAGAAAACAGAAGCAGTCAGAAGAGATAGGAAACCAAGTCATTAGCTGAGGGTAAAGACGGGAGGAGGAATTTGGAGGTTTGAAGGGCAAGAAGGCACGAATCAGGTGTTTAGGAGAGCAAAAGGCAAGAATCAGATGTTCAGGATGGTTAGGGGAGAGGGCAAGGGAAGAGATGACACAGGTTTCTGCCTTGGCAGCTGAATGGAGGCAAAGAAGAGAAGCCAGTCTAGGAGCAAGTGAGAGTAGCTGTTCCCTCCACGTTATGGAAATGCCTTTCTCCCATTTGAGCATAACCGCCAGCCTCATCCACCCATCTTTCATGGAAAACTGCTGCTGACACGCCCTCGGTTCTTTCTGAGCCTGCAGTGTTCACACTGTTCACTCCTCCTCTTCTGACAGAGCTTCTCCTTGATGGATTCCAGGGAGTCAAGGGAGACCTGGCCAGAGTGAGTCCGCTGGCCCTGCACATACCTCACCAGAGTTCTGTACTGTAACATGTTCCCCATCTTCCCCACTAGACCATAAGCTCCTTGGGGAGGGGAAGTCTGTCAAATTCGTTGCATTCCAATACCTAGCATGATTCTTGGCACATAGGGAACTCCAAATACATGTCGGTGGGATGAATAGAAGTATGACTGCCTGCCTCTGGGAAGACTTCCCTGAATGTGACCTAGTTGTGTCCCTCCAAACAAGCACATGTTATTTTGCATTTCTAGGGTGATGACATCGTAAGTGCTTTTTTGTTTCTTTTTTTTTTTTTTAGCTGAGTCAGTGGCAGCTCAGCTTGGTCAGGGAATCAAACCGGCAATCCTGTTGCTTAGAGCTCGCACTCTTGAGCAAGCTTTTAACCAACCGAGCCACTAGGCAGGCCCTTGTAAGTGCTTTTAAATGAGTGTTTTCAGTGTGAGGTTTTGTCTGCCCATTAGATTATAAATTAATAAACTTTCCTTTGTAGTTTTTGGTTCTTGACAAAAGTGAAGCCAAGTTTTACTTACCTTTTCCTTTCCCAAGTCTGTAGTGCCTAATTCCTACTCCTCTTCCCACAAAACACACCTTAACCCTCAGAAACTCATAAGCTTTCTCCCAAGCAATCAAAACCTTAAAAATCTAAAATATATTCATAGTAAAGTTATAAAGCACTCATGAGATTTAATACCACAGATTACTTCCCCTACAGGGTGCTCCCAAATATGCATTTTCACAGAAGACCGTGTCCAAAGCAAAGGATCTTTTAAGCGACAGAATTGTCCCTGAAATCACTAAGAGAAAAAAAGGTAGAAAAAACTCCTACTAAGGTTTGCCTAGTTTTTATATCCTGCCCAGATCAACCATCTTGGGTGCTTTGACAGCCAATGAGTGCCGCCTGGCACACAAAAGCAAATAATAATAATAATAATAATAATAATAATAATAATAGTAATAGTAATACTCTTTTTTTTTTAAAGAAGTTACTGGACTGGTCCCAAACCATTCCCCTCTCCCGAGAATTCATTCAGCAAGTGGCAGTTTTTCCACAGCCCCATCCCCCCAAGCCAGTCCCGCCTCCGCAAAGCTCACGCACCCTGCAGCGCTGCCAAGATCCCCACGATGCCCGTCCCCGCGCCCAGTTCGATCACTTTCTTGCCTCGGAAATCCACATTTTGACTTTCGAAATAGTTGCACAGGCTCAGAGCCTATAGGAGAAAAAAAAGAAAAAAGACTGTCGTGGAGATGGCTCCATATGGGAGAGGGAGGGCCCGGGGTTTGGACCTTCCGCGGACCCTCGCGGAGAGCCGCCCACTCCTCACCGCTTCCCACACGCGCGCTGCCACCCCGAGGCGGGATCCGAAGTTCTGCGTGATGCTGAGCACGTGCCCACAAAAACAGAAGCGGCTCTTCTCCGAGTAAGAGTCAGCGAAGAGCCCGACCTCCCGTGGGAACACCGATTCGGGCTCGGATGCAGGATCTGGACCGGGGTCCGCCATCTGGCCCAAAGGGTTCGGGACGCCGCAGCCAGCGCTGGGATCCCGGATCCGGAGCGGGGTTGAGGTTGCGGGGCCGCCGGCTGTCTCCGCTGCCCCGTGGCACTGAGCCCCGCCTCCCCGAGTTGCCCTCCTTCGTCCAGTTTGACTTCCTAGAGGCGGAATAAGGAGCACAGCGCACAGCCGATGGGACTCACCCCGCACCTCGCGCGCGGGTCGGACCCGGCACACTAGTCGGCACACTCCCGGAGGGAGGCGAGCTGAGCGAGGCTTAATTCTGTAGGAAGTGGGGTCCTCAGACCCCTCTTACCTGCGGGGTGCACTGATGCCTGAAACCAGGATGGTAACCCAGACCAGGCCGACGCAGGCTAAGGAGAGATTGGGTGCCGGTCCTGGCCTTGCCAGTCCCGCCGCAGACTTGAGGTGCAGAGGCGCCCTCTTGTGCGGGGTACCCCTCCCCCAGTCCCCGCCCCCGGGTCCTCCCCGACCAGCTCAGACGAATTCACTCTTGGGTCTTTAAGGGGTGGGGTGTGTCCACAACGTGCCTGGCTGCGTCATTTTCATGCGCCTGGGCCTTGTCTCCACGTGGGTTCGGTGGAGAAACGCGGGACTGGGGATCATGGCGGGAGCCGAGGCTGGGATCGCCGCAGGAGCCGAGGCTTCGCAGCCCCAGAAGCGCTACTATCGGCAACGTGCTCACTCCAACCCCATGGCGGACCATACGCTGCGCTAGTGAGTGAACAGGGCAGGGGGAAGGTAGGAGGGCGGAAGTCTCAGAACAGCCCGGAGCAGCCCTAGAGAGCGACTGTGCTGGGACTGCTGGGAGGGCTCAGGATACACCCGGCTGTGTACGTCAGTTTTGAGGTTGGACTGGGAAGATTTGGTGGAGGGCGGAGCTGGCGGTTTGGGAGGGGGCGTGGCGTTCTGTCTGAAGTCTGGGCGGTGGTGCAAGTCTGGGAGGAGAAAAAAATTGTCAGAAACGAGACAGCGGGCAGAATACCCTTTCCATCTTTCGGTTTCCTTAGTCGGGTATAATAAAAAGACGTACGCTCAGTCCCTCCCTCACCTTACTCTATCCTCTTCTCACAAAGCACGTAAACAACGTAAGATCCCAGTGCCTTAGGCAGCCAGTCTTGGGGAAAAGGGGAACTTGTGCCCCAGAAAGGAGAGCTGCCCGGCCAGAGTCACATCAGCCCCTAGCAATGGAGATGGGCAGGTCCGCAATCATGACGGGCCTCATGATGGGCTTATGATTCACACTGGGGGTTAAGGGTGGTTTCCACTGTGTCTCCTAGAAGCCGCAGGGCCCCACTCTTACAGAATTTTTGAGAAACACTCCCATGTACTTCCCACCCTTACCCATTCACCCCCACACATGTAGTACCACTTTTGCAATGGTGTGACCCGCCGTCTCATGTTTCTCACGTCTTCTCTCCTATAGCCCTGTGAAGCCAGAGGAGATGGATTGGTCTGAGTTATACCCAGAGTTCTTCGTTCCACCGACTCAAAATCAGAGCCGCAGTGACCCAAAGGATAAGAAAAAAAAGAGAGCTCAAGCCCAAGTGGAGTTTGCAGACATAGGCTGTGGCTATGGTGGCTTGTTAGGTAACACTCTGGCCCTTTCTCTGGGGCAAGGAGAGGCAATATCTAGTTTCTGCCACCTCAGCAGGTTTGGTGGGGGCCATAGTTGGCCTTTCCCCTTCGGACCAGACACTGGTGCTGTGACATCAGTGTGGAAAGCCTCCACCTTCCCTCTTCTCTAGGTCTGTGGCCTTTGCCCTGGAGAAGGGAGGAGGCTGCCTCAAATGCCTCCCAGAACTTGGGTTGTCCTGTCTGGCCTTACCCCTGGCCCCAGTCATTACGTGAGCCATTTCACCTGCCAGGTGCCGGGTCAGTGAGCTGGTCAGCACAAGCGTCAGAGATTAGCCACTGTGACCAGTGATCCTGAACTGTCTCAGGGATTCCACCATTCCCTCTCTCCCTCCCCCGTTCCTCATTCCTTCTGCTCCACCCTCCTTTCTCTTATATTGTCTATATTGTCCCAGTCATGCTTACTAGGCCACTTCTCTATTTTGAGATGTTCCCAGAAAGATAACAGCATGACAGAAAGGAAGAGCATGGTACTTGGTAGCAGAAAACTTTGGTTCAAGTTCCAGTTGTAACTCTTCCTTAGCTGTATGACCTTGGGCATTTCTGACCCTCAGTTTCCTCATCTTCACATTTACCACAGAGTGTTAAGAGGATTAAATGAGACGATGTGTAAAAACACTAAAGCACTTGCAAATGTACAATATTCCCAGGCCCTCCCAGTTCCAGTCCTGGTGACAGTTTCGGATCCCCCCAGCCCTGTTCTCCAGCATAGAATTATCCATATAGGCATCTTTCTGTCTACATTTGCCATTCCTGACTTTGGTAGTTGCAGACTGAGTCTTTCTTTCCTATGTTGATACCTTGGCACTTCTTGCAAATATGAGGTTGGTAATTCCATTCCTATTTGTGTGTCCAGTGGAACTATCACCGCTCTTCCCAGACACACTGATACTGGGTCTGGAGATTCGGGTGAAGGTCTCAGACTATGTCCAAGACCGGATTCGGGCCTTAAGAGCAGCTCCTGGAGGTGGCTTCCAGAATATCGCCTGTCTCCGCAGCAATGCCATGAAACACCTTCCTAACTTCTTCTGCAAGGGACAGGTAGGGAGAGGCCCTGGTGGGCAAGGCCGGTAGGCAGGTAGGACATGGAGGCCAGGCTCTTACAACTCGGTCCATGCATGTCTGTCTCATAGCTGACAAAGATGTTCTTCCTCTTCCCTGACCCACATTTCAAGCGGACGAAACACAAGTGGCGAATCATCAGTCCCACACTGCTGGCAGAATATGCCTACGTGCTGAGAGTTGGAGTAAGTCGGGCGTGGGAGGGAGGGTGGGGTGAGTGGCCTATTCAGGGACGTTCTACTAAGGATTCAGTGGGGGTGCATCCCATCATCTCACTGTTCAATTGCAAGCAGTCCCCTATCTAGGGTAATTTTGCCTGTGCAGGGGCTGGTATATACCATAACTGATGTGCTAGAGCTACACGACTGGATGTGCACCCATTTTAAAGGACACCCCCTATTTGAGCATGTGCCTCTGGAGGAGCTGGTAAGTTGGGGGCTTATAAGGGAAATTGTGAAGATGCAGGCCCTTTCCAGAGTGATCCTTTATTCTTTGAACCCAGCTCAGTGCCAATAGGATGGGATGGGAGTCTTGGGACCAGGGGCAGTCTGAGGGTGGGCAAGGACTTACAAAACCCTTCTCCCAGAGCGAAGACCCCATTGTGGGACATCTGGGCACCTCAACTGAAGAGGGAAAGAAAGTTCTTCGCAATGGAGGAAAGAATTTCCCAGCCATCTTCCGAAGAATACAGGATCCCACCCTCCAGGCGGTGTCCCCCAATCCCACCACTCCTGGTCACTGACTGCTTACCTTGCCTTAGCTGGACTCCATCTTCCAAGTACTAGAAAGAAGATCAAGCTTCCTGGAACTTCCCAGCTGAGACTGCTGGGGCTGAGAGGCAATAAATCTCTCAAAGAAGTTGGGGGACTGCCCAGGGACAGAATCCTGGTTTTCACAACTATCCCTGCCTCCTCTCACCTTCCCGCCCCGCCACTGCCAGCAGAAAGCCGAAGGAACTGACTGGGAAGGTCAGAAGACCTTGGACCAGAAGGGGTATTTGCCAGGGGTGTGGGGTCTTACTCTCCCTTAGCACTCTCTTCTCCCTCTGGGATGTCTCCTCAACTGGAGTGGGGAATGCAGTTCTCCACTGGACATCTAAACTGCCTGCTAGGTTCAAATCACCTGTCCACTTGTGTGTACTTTGCAGTCCTGGGGAGAACGTATATGTGTGCACATACCTGTGCTGCTGTTTCTCAAAGAAGGCTAGAATGTGTATTACATGCTTCCTCCCATCCTCTCTGCCTAAGACTTGACCTGGGGAATTTGTGCTCCTTTATTGTTGCTGTCTCTGGAGAGTCCCAGGGAGGGGGTGGGGGTGGAGACCCTCTCCTTTTTTCATGTTGACTCTTCATTCCAGAGCTTCAGAGCTGACTGACTGGCACAACCTGATGGGGCTGGGGTAGGGGAGTGAGGAGCAGAGAATGAAACTGTGGAGGATTCTAAGGCTAAAAGTGGAAAGGGGCTGCTAACTAGAAAGCCCCCCAAAGGGGATGGAGTCTGCTGGAGATTCAGAGTGCTCACTTAGCCTTTGCTCTATCCAGCAGCCCAGAGAAATCTATGAACTTTTCTAATTTGCAAATTCCTTCATTTCTCAAGCCCCAAATTCCCATGGCTAGGACAGGACTTGTTGACCTAAAAGACCCTACCTCCCACCCACCCAAGGAACAAAGATGAAGGCTCCAGGAGACATTTTCACTCATAACTCACCTGTCATCTGCCCAGTGTCAGTCAGGTACAGGGGAAGGGGGAGATGTAGTAGTGCAGGAAATTTTGCCTCAATGCAGAGAAAGTGCAGCCTGATGAGCCAAGAATATGGGGATGGCTACAGCTGTGCCTCTTTCCACGCTTCCCGGAGATGCTGGAAGATGGGGAATTCCTGCTGGGTCTGAGGGGCCCACTAGCTCTTTGGGAAAGTGATGGGAATGTCAGGGACTGACTATCTTGGTCACCTAAGCTCATTAGATAGCCTTCCCCAGGAAGAGATCTTTAGGCTGCTGGACTAGGACACAAGACCAGGAGGAGAAACTGAGGCAGGCCTCCCCTCCCAAGAGGGTCATTGCAACATGTGACCCAAGGGAGCTGCGAAGGCAGCCCCAGCCCCGCCTACTGTTCCTGGGTGTTAATCCCCGGCACGGACCACTCAGAGGATTGGCTGAGTAGCTTGGAGAGGGGCGTCGCCACTGCCTCGCCCAAAGGTTAAATAGGGGCGCAGGCAAGATGCTCTGAAGTGCTGTATTTCCCTGAACCAGACCATGACCCAGACCCGTAAGCTCGCCTCCAGAGTGTTTCATCGCGTCCTCTGTGCTTCTGACCTGGGCGCTTTACTGGGCTCCCGAGGTTACAACTCAGCACCCCGGAGCTTGGCGGACATCCCAGGCCCCTCAACGCCGGGCTTCCTTGCGGAACTTTTCTGCAAGCGGGGGCTGTCACGGCTACACGAGCTGCAGGTAGAGGGGGATGCTGTTCCTGGGACGAAAGGCTGGGAAAACAGACTAGTGGAGAACGCAGAAAAGAGAGCCAGTGAGAACGGATGCCCTTGACTTAAGGAAAAGACAAGTTGGGATTTGGGGCTGTGGCTCGAGTGGCGCGGAATCCATCCCGACACCGAGCAGAGGCGTGCTCTCAGAGAGCAACTTCTCGCAGTGCAGAAGTCTGGAAGCCGGGTAGGTCCAGGACCAACGCGCGGGAGTCGGAAAGGCACAGTACCTTCCTGGCGCAATCGGCACATTGTGCTTAAAGCTACATGCGCTCCTATACATTCTGCGGGGGCTCATCATTAGATGAGTAGTACACGTGAGGAATCTTGAAGGATTTCTCCGCCTCGCCTAGGCTTGGCTCGGCTCGGCTCGGCTCGGCTCGGCTCAGCCCAGGTGTCCAAAGAGGTCCTGTGTCTGCTTTACTCAGTTACTCCGTTTTGCTCACCACACTAAACTTTCTAGGGATGGGAAGTGAGGCAAAGAGGAGGAGGGGTTTGCAGCATCAGGGCCATACACTAGCTGGGAGCTCGCAAAGGAGCAGAGGCACCCCCTCCCAAAGCTCAGCCAACGCCCTTGGCGTTGGCATGGACCAAGCTGGGAGTCCCCTGCCCGCGTCTCCAGTGTCCGCTGCGCCCATTCTCCCAGGTGCAGGGGGCCGCTCGCTTCGGACCTGTGTGGTTGGCCAGCTTCGGGAAGGTGCGCACAGTGTACGTGGCGGCCCCTACCCTCGTTGAGCAGTTGCTGCGACAGGAGGGACCCCGGCCCGAGCGCTGCAGCTTCTCACCATGGGTTGAGCACCGTCGCCGCCGCCAGCGGGCTTGCGGACTGCTCACCGCGTGAGTCCTCTCTGGCCCCCAAACCCAGACGCCCCTCTGTGTCCCTGTCCTGTGGCCGGTATGGAGACAGTCTGGGGGTGTGGAGGAAGGTCGGCCGATTCCCCCCAACCTCTGGAAAATAGGAGTTCCCACCTGTATGTTTCGCCCAAGCTCAGGTAGAGCCCAGCCTTTGTCCCCCGCCCCTCCGCGTCCTTGTCTTTCGAGGCCAGAATTCTGGGAACCGGCAGACAGGGCTAGGGTACCAGAATCCAGATGGAATGTAAGATTCTGTGACTCAAGTTACCCAGGAACCCAGGCCCCTCTGGGGCAGGAAATGAGTAACGAGAAAGGGGGATGAACAGCGGGCGCCGGCAGGAGCAGGTTTCTGTACCCGGAGGGAACAGACGCAATCCCTCACCTAGCCACCCGAGCCGAACGCGCTTCTCCACCGCTGCCAGCCTCGTTGAGCAGCCTCCACATACCCCCATCTGCCCTGATGCGCCCCCTCTCCGCACTCCCACAGGGAAGGCGAAGAATGGCAGAGGCTCCGCAGCCTCCTGGCCCCGCTCCTCCTCAGGCCTCAAGCAGCCTCCCGCTATGCCAGGACCCTGGACGACGTGGTCCTTGACCTTGTGCGGAGACTGCGGCGCCAACGGGGACGCGGCGCTGGGCCACCCTCCCTGGTTCAGGACGTAGCCGGAGAATTTTACAAGTTTGGACTAGAAGGTGAGTCCCAAGACAGTTCGGGGCAAGTTTAAGAGACACGGACTGGGGTCTCCCAGTGCCCTGACAGCGCCCCCTCCCGGACAGGCATAGCCGCGGTGCTGCTCGGTTCGCGCCTGGGTTGCCTGGAGGCAAAAGTGCCTCCAGACACAGAGACCTTCATCCGCGCGGTGGGATCCGTGTTTGTGTCTACGCTGTTGACCATGGCGATGCCCAACTGGCTGCACCGACTCGTGCCCGGACCCTGGGGCCGCCTCTGCCGAGACTGGGACCAGATGTTTGCATTTGGTAAGGCACAGAAATGAAGTGGAGACAGGAGAATGTAAAGCTGTTCGGGGCTAGTGAGGCATCCTTGTACCATCTCCCCACGCAGCCCAGCAGCACGTGGAGCAGCGAGAGGCCGAGGTAGCCAAAAGGAACCAGGGAAAACCTGAGGAGGACATGGGATCTGGCGCGCACCTGACCTACTTCCTGTTCCGGGAAGAGTTGCCTGCCTCGTCCATCCTAGGGAATGTAACAGAGCTGCTACTGGCCGGAGTGGACACGGTGAAGTTCTCCCTCCATGTTGCGAGCCCCACTTCCAGAGCTTAGCAATCCCAGTCTCAGCCCTGTTGCAGAGGATCCACTATGGCCCTCTAGACCAGCTTGGCTTAGCACCTCCTGGGCTACAGACTACTTCACATTCTGCCCCCTGTACTGGTTCCCCACTCTTAACACCTCTGGTGCTCTTACCTGTCCCCTCAGGTGTCCAACACACTCTCCTGGGCTTTATATGAACTCTCTCGGCACCCCGAAGTCCAGACCGCACTCCACTCTGAGATCACAGCTGCCCTGGGCCAGGGCTCCAATGCCCACTTCTCAGCCACTGCTCTGTCCCAGCTGCCTCTGCTGAAAGCAGTCCTCAAGGAAGTGCTAAGGTGAGGGGGCAGGAGAGGGGGAGCTAGAGAAAATCTGGGGAAGCTGATAGTAGATGCGAGCTTAGGAAGATGGTACTCGACTCCTGACCAGGAATGGGTTTGGAAGTTGCAGGCATGAGAGGGAAGCTTACAGCCCCTAGCCTCACCTTGCTGTCTCCCTTTGTGCTCTGCAACCCAGACTGTACCCTGTGGTACCTGGAAATTCCCGTGTTCCAGACAAAGACATTCGTGTGGGTGACTATATTATCCCCAAAAATGTGAGTAGAGGCTATGGATCCTTTTTGCTAAGCCATCCCTCACTATCTCAGTCCTGGTCTTGTACTCACCCCCCCCCCCAAATTAGGCCCTTCAAACCCTTCCCTTGTCCTGAGTGCTTCTCTCTGGCATATAATGGGGCAGTGGAGAAATAATTCCAAAAGCAGACCAGAAAACTTCCCCATCACCAACCAGAACCTGCTTTCTTCCCAGTCCATATATCTTCTTCTCTGTGTCCCTCCCTGTATTCCTGGGTTCCAATTGACAAGTTTGTGCTCCTCCCCCACCAGACGCTGGTCACTCTGTGTCACTATGCTACTTCAAGGGACCCTGTCCAGTTCCCAGAGCCAAATGCTTTCCGTCCAGCTCGCTGGCTGGGGGAGGGTCCAGCCCCCCACCCATTTGCATCTCTTCCCTTTGGCTTTGGCAAGCGCAGCTGCATGGGGAGACGCCTGGCAGAGCTTGAACTGCAAATGGCTTTGGCCCAGGTGAGTGATCTAGACCTTCTACCTTCCCCAGGCAAGAGAGACCCTAACCCTCTAAAGCTGTGAGCTCAGTGAGAAGCACAGTAAAACATTTAAGACTTGGTAGACCTAACTATCTGAAATGTGTCAATCCCATTATAGGCCTGGACAGTTAGCAAAGGTATTTGTACTATCTTTTTCCCAGCCATAATCCCTTATCCTGATTAACCAAGAAGTCCACTCTAGCCACAGATGCCATTCCAACCTTGACCATCCTAACGCTAATAATGCCCATTACTAATCAAACCCACCACTGTCATCCCCTCTCATAGTGATAGCCTTCTTCCTGCCTTTACAGATCTTGATCCACTTTGAGGTGCAGCCTGAGCCAGGTGCTGCCCCAGTCAGACCCATGACCCGGACTGTCCTGGTACCTGAGAGGAGCATCAACCTACAGTTTGTGGACAGATAGTCCTGTGGAAGAAGGCGGTCATCATCATCCTTTCTCTCATCTTAGGGGTGTATTAGGCACAAAACCAAGAGACCTGTATTTCCCCTGAGGCCTCTCTATCTGACCAAACTGGTCAGAATGACCACAACAAAGTGCTTGAGGCAGCCCTGACCAAGGTATGAAGTATGCACTTGGCCTCACCGAGAAGTCCCAGAGAAAACTATGGTTCCTCTACCTGCTCAGCCCTTCTCCTGGTCATATCATATGCATCCTTCAAGGGCCAATTCAGACTTTAACTAATAATGCTGGCTGACCTGAGGAAGAATTCCACCACTGCGCTTTTGGGGCTTCCGGTGTTCATTGATGCTGCTGGCTAAGCTCTTAGCACGGCATGAGCTAAGTAATTGTGCATCTGGTCTGCACCTGCTTGGTCGTCTCTCCTTGCATGTGAGCTCTATGAGACGCAAGGTGAGGCCTTCGTTAGTCTTTATATCTCCTGCCAGGGCCTATCCCTGACTAGGTGACACCATGCAGATTCTCAGACTGGATCTGGACCATGTGGCAGAAAAGGGGTAAGCAGCTTACCAAGCTCTTGTCTATACTATACCTTTCTCATCTCGCCCCTAGGAAGGTGAGTCTGCCCTTCCCTGGTTTATAATTTTTTAAAACTCTCCTTGCCCCTCTGGTCACTATTGGGTTGTCTTGCCCCACCACTTTGTTCCCTGGCAGAGACATCTCTGGACCTTTCCCTGCACATGCCTTCCTTTTATGTATTGAAAAATGTAAACGTTCATAGTTTTGAAATTAAAAAAATTGAATGTCCCCTTCTTGACTTTTGACTTACTTCTCTCCCACTCCCACTGCCTACAAGACCTGGAGGCAAGACTTTCACCCAAATCTCCAACCTTGGTTTCTCAGGTCCTTGGCGTGACCCTATCACATGGGAGGTCTAGACACCTGGGAGAGGGGTTTGCATCACAAATCCAGACACGTTTCTGTCTGGAGTGGGAACAGCCAAGTCTGGCTCCCTGTAAGAAATTAAGGGGGTGGTGGTGAAAAGTAAATGCAAGGGCTAGGCTGTAAAAAAGGGTCTGGAGGTAGGGATTTGCAGAGATGGCCAGAGGATGCTGACTCTGGTAGGAGTGCTTTTGGAACCTGGACTGCCAGGACCAAAGGACATCCTAGAATGGCCACTCTGCCCTCTCTGGAAAAGTTGCTCTAAGGTGATTTCCTTTAGAGAAAGACAGGGATACAGGCAGAGAAGTGAAGTCAGACAGACAGGATGAAATTTGAATGTGGGGGTGGCCAGAAGCCCTGGGGCACCAAGGCAGGAGAAAGGGGCTGGGCAAGAGCCTCTGCTTCCCTGAGTCAGCACTCTCTGCCCCCTGCCTTCCCCCAGAGCTGGGCACAGTCTTCTCCTTGTGATGTATACAGATTAACTCATCTTGCCTACAAATAAATCTCTCAGCACACGCCCCGCATCTCCCTCTGTAGCCCAGATTACCCTCCCATGTCAGGACTTGCCCTCCTTCCTTCTGCTCTCCCCACACCCCTTTTCGATTAGCTGGATGGAGATGGAGATTTCACTTTACATTTCCTCCTCCTCCCCACCACCTTGGCCCCCTGCCCTAGACATGGCTCCCTGACCACAGAAACTCCATTAACCACCAAAGCTTCTGGGGGGTGGGTATCTATTTATGTAAGATCTACAGAGGGGCAGGGTGTTCCCAAGGCCCTATGCCGAGATCAGGGTTTGTGTGCCTTTCTTTACTGCCCCTCAACTCCTTCTCTACTGTACGGTCTCCATCCCCACTCTCCTACCACAAAGTTCAACTTAAATCTAAATGACCTAATTTTTAGCAGATTTGAGTTTTGAGAGAGAATCAAGACCCCCTTCCTCTCAGGCCCTTTCCCCTGGACTCAGTGAGGAGGATTCTGCACACCCATACTCCTCATTGAGCAACAGTTCAAGTTAACTTGAGGGCAACAGGCTCTATGACGCCTTTCCTGGACAAAAATCTCTTTAAGTTGGAAAAAGGAAGAAGAGGGAACCATACTGATTGCTGGTCCCAACCCCCATACCAAGACATCCAATGGTGCTGAAAGGATGTACTGTCTCGCTTGGCCTGGTTTTAGGACTCAGAGTGGAAACAGGAACAGTGTGTTTGTATATGAGTGTGCCTATATTCTTGGGATTGTCTAAGCTTCTATGTGGGGCTGTTCCTGGGGGACAGCCCATGCTTGGTACAGGAAACCCCAACTGTATCATACCTACTTAAACCCTATCTGTCAGGATAGGTACTAGTAGTCACTCTGATTTGCTGTCTCCCTTCTGATCCCCACAAGCTATTCGATGAATAGCACATCAGTAAAGTCTGGCCCTTCCCAGCTAGGGGATGTGGAGGGTGATCTCTCTCGGGAAACAATTTCCCACTGGAAAAATGGGGGGCTCAGCCTCAGTTCCCTATTTACTTTGATCCCGTCCAAGCTTGGAAGTGATACACTTCCACACTTCCAGGTGACTCAAATCCAAGTCTAGCTTTGGTTTCTACACTCCCAGGTAAGTCTGTGTTCTAGCACCACGGACAGCAGCCAAGACCTCTGGGAGAGGGGTAGGGGATGACCGTTACCCAGACAAGGGTATGTGACCTTTAGTAGGAAGCATTTTCCACAAAACATCCCCAGGGAAGAGGTGGAGAACCTTCTCTAAGAGGAGGATCAATAATAGGAAAGGCCTCTGGATCTGACTTTAGCAATGTGTAAAGTAATTAATTTAATTGCTAATAAATAGTTCACTTAAAAGACATCATCATTCATATAATACACAGCCCCAAGGCCTCAGAAGAAAGGGACCAGGCTTCAGACTGACCCACATTTTAACCAGTCCTTCCCAAACCTTTTCTCTGTAGACAACTTCCCTCTGTGCTTCTGCCTCCAAACACAATAACTTCCAGTTAATACCGCTAGCAGGGGCACACCAGGATCAGACCTATGACCCTGAATTGTCATAGGAAGAGCTTAAACTGGAGTTGGAGACTCATATCATGGAAGGATTCTGTCCATCTCACTCCAAATGAGTCCAAATTCACTTCACACCACTTCTCTGGGCAAGTACATTACCTGGGAAGGACTAGTACAACCCACACGATCCCCAGAGCAAGACGGAGAGCTCCAGCCTTCCCCTACCCCCTAGTGTTTAGGGGGTTGGAGGAGCTCTCATTCTTGCAAAAAACCACCATCCTTCACATTTACAATGTCTATTTCCCCTCATATATCCATATCTATTATGACAACACAAATTTCCAAGGCTCTGTGCAACTCCAGATGAAAAACACATTTTGGAATTTGTTAATCAGGTACTATTTGAAATAAATGGACCATCGTCTAATGTAGAAATCTTTTTATGCCATCACTGATCTTCTTTGCAATGGCATTCAACCTGTCCCTTGTTTATCCTCATTCCAACTCTATGAGGTAGACAGGAGAACCACAGTGGAGAGATTTTTTTTCCTAAATCACACAACTTGCAGGCAGCAGGTCCACCCTTTAGATACCTCTGAGCACTGCCATCTAGCAGGCAATGTGAATTATTCACCAGCAAGTGGGAGTTACACCTCCAACTCAGAACCCACTACTGCATTTGGGATTTGCAACCTCTGCAGAGAAACCTCCCCATACCTCCCAACCCTCCAGAAAAGCCCCAGATGAGAAAGGAGTCTCCGCGTGCATATAAATGATTCTTTATGCCCTCCCCCCATGCAATGGGGGGTGGAGCAGGGGGAAGTCCCCCCGCCCTCATGCAGGGAACGGGAGGTCAATGTATACTAGTCTTATTGCCAGCTGCCCTGTGGCCATGGGGTGGGGAATGGGGGGGGGTCTACAGCCCCTTTCTTCTGGCATTGGTCCCCCTTCACCAAGTCACCATGGTGGAGCTGGGGGGCAGGGGGCTGGAGGCCCTAGGAGCTGAGGTAAAGATGGTTCTCTAGGGGAGAAAAGCTGCTCTCCCCACCTGCCCACTGGCTGCCCCAGGATAAGCATGAGGAGCTGTCAGTGGGGGCTGGAATGTCATCCAGATGTCTCTACCCAGTGGGCAGTAGAGGCCAGACAATGTCTCCAACTTGAGGCTGCCCACAGAGATCCTCAGTGGTGGGGGCAGTGTGCCCTGAACATCTGGTCCAGGTGGTACCTCCAGCAGCCATGATAGCTCATCTCTGGCCGATGTAGTGACTCAAGATCCCCGCTCCTGAAGTCCAGTTCAGACTGTGGTAACCCTCATGACAACCTCTCGGCCAGAATGGGAACTGGAACGCGCATCTGGTGGCCGCAGCTGTCCAAGGAGATGCAGGATTGTGTAGCCACAGCGCTGAGGCAAGAGCGTCCGCATGCGCTGGGCAGCCGGGGGGCGGCTGGTGGCCCCAGAGGGGGGGCCCGTCCGTGAGGTCCTGGGGCCCGGCTTCCCTGCCGTCCCTCCCCCTACATCTCCTCCTATGTCCTTGGTCTTGTCATAATTCAGGACCTTCCACTGCTGGTTCACTGCCTGCCAGCGTTTAAAGATGCGGTAGACAGAGGAGCCTTCATGGACGATGAGGCCTGAGCGAGAGGGATAAGAAATCCAGGGTCAACTGCTGCCCAGACCTAGGCCAGATGTGCTTAAGCAAGCATTTCTCCAGAGTGAGGAGATAGGGTTGCAAAGGGCCTGGAAAGGAAGGGTACCAAGATAGCCCTAAATATTCTCAATGGTAGAAAACGTGGCCATGAAGCTGAAGGAATGGGCAGGAAAAGTTAATTTTAAGAATGTGAGTTGGAGGAAGCTGCTGATCAAGTAAGGAGAAGAGAGGTGCCCTCACCTATGCAGACGACATCCATGAAGCCGTACATGCCGTAGCAGATCTGAAAGAGCAGATCCTGTCGTTGCCACTTGGCTGAAGGGCTGAGTGAGGACCAGATGAGCCAGGAGATGCTGGCAACGAGGAAGAGAGAGCCCAGAACTATGGCTGCAATCTGGACCTTCTCAATGACCGTCAGGGAGATGGCCTGCCACTGTGAGAAAGAAAGGACTCCAAAAAGTCACAGAAAGAAATGGAAGGCCAGGTGGTGGGAGGCTCTGAAGAGGAAGATGCTCCAGCTGGGAGCCTTCCTGAAATCCTTCAGGCGGGATTAACAACTGTCTCCTCTGTGCCCTGATCACACCTAGAATGTGGCACTTCTCATGTTGTTTGAGACCGTTTGTCTGTCTTATTTTAGAAAGACGAGATCAGGCAGGTGCTCTGAAGCCAGACCATCTAGGTTTGAATTCCAAATCCTAACGCCGTCACTTCCTGGCTGAGTAACCCTGGGCAAGTTTTTAAATCTCTTTGTGTATCAGTCTTTAATATGGGGATAATAATGGTATATAACTAATAGGATTACTATGGAGATTAAAAGAGTTAATACACACCAAGAGCTTGACACATAGAAAACACTACTTGTTTGTTATCATCGTCATTGACATTATCGTCTTTTTTGTCGTCCCAGTGCCTAGAACAGTGCCTGCAATACAGGTGGCACCCAACAATAGCTTCGTAAATGATGAATGAAGGAAGGGAGGATTTACAGACAGGAGGCTGTGGTAATGGTGGGAAGGACTAAGTAAATGGATGAAATAGGCTCCTTGGAGGGTCTCTGATTCTGATTGCTGAAAGGCCCTTGCCCCAATCTGACAGTCGTTCTGTCCTTGCACCTCACCTGCAGTGGGTTCTTGGTGCTGATCGCCAGGACCTGGTACTTGAAGTAGCAGAGCTCACAGCTCCAGGAGCCCCTCTCGCTGATCCAGCGGATGAGGCAGGGCTGGTGAGTGCAGCGCACCGACCCATCGCAGCGGCAGGGGCTCAGGAGCTCCCCCTGGAGGAAGAGTGACGAGGATCCCAGTTAGCGATCAGCGCCCCGACTCCTCTCCTCCCGGCTCCGGGAGAGGAAAGCCTCTCCAGGTCAGTCATTGTCCCACCTTAAAAAAGCTCAGGCCTTTCCCCCAAAACAGGGCAAGAGGCTAAAGCTGCAGCAGAAAAGACAAAAGTTCCAGTTCCAGGTAAACTTCCTTGACCAAACAGATGAGGGACAAAGAGGGATTGGGATGGCTGGGGGTGGGTGGGAGCTGGGTCTTTTCTTTTCCTAAAATTTGAATTAGGCTTCCCAAATGGAAGGTAACTTTACCCCTTAGGATCTGGAGGGACGGGAGGGTCAGAGCTTCTGAGCCACGCCTTCCTCCCCACCCCACAACTATAAAGAATTTCACAGATGTGGTGCAGACTGGGATGGGTTATCGTCCTGAGTTTCCTAATTTCAAAAGGGGAGAGAAATACTGGGGGTGGGAGTAGAGGTTGTTCCCCTTTAATCAAGGAATAATCTCTCACGATATAGAGACACCCAGGGCATTATTCCTGGACAACTTTGTCCATAACCTTTAAACAAAGAGTACTCTTTGGAATGAGGTGGAAAGTTGCGGAATGGGAAGTGAAGAAAAGTGCCCCAAGGAGAGAAATATTGAGTGAGGCAAGGGCGCCGGCTGGGCCCCGCCCTTCACGGTGGGAACAGAAGGACTCTCCTCTCTGTCCACCTCCTCAGCCTACAGAGACCCTGGAGTGAGAGAAGTGGGGGAGAAGCTGTCCTCGTTAATAGGTGAGAGGGATTTTGAGCCTTCCCAGGAAAAAGCCTCACCCCTTCCTGAGGCTACCTGACTCCCCTCCACCCAAAACATACGGTCCGGGAGGTCTCCAGCCAGGCCCCCAACCTCACCCCATTCCCACTCGGGTCCTGGGTCCCGCCCAGCCTCCTCAGGCCCCGCCCCCTGTTCGCGGTCTCCCGGGGCATCCCAGGTGCGCGCCCCCACCCCTCCTCGCCCCGTGGGGGGCTTAGGCCTGACCTGCTCCGGGCCCTGGAAGCAGATTCGGCACTGGGGGGTTCGGAGCCCGCTGTCCAGGCTGCTGCTGAGCGACAGGGCGTCCAGCGCGCCCGGAGGCGGTGGCGGCGGCGGCGCGGGCGGCGGCGGGGGTCCGGCCCGCGGCTCCTTGTCGCCGGCCAGGCCCCGGGCCCGCGGCTCCGATCCGTAGTACTCCTCTTCGTCGCCGTCGCCGTCCCGGGTTGAGCAGCCAGCGAAGGGCGCCCAGCCGCAGCCGCCTCCCCCGCCCCCCCGGGGCTGCGGCTCGGCCCGGGGCCGCCCCCCGCCCGTCAGCACCAGCAGCTTCAGCTCGTTCAGGAACATGCGGAGCCGAGACTTGAGCATCGTCCGGGCGCCGGGGGGCGGAGGGCGGCGTGCAAGGGGGCTCTCGGGCGGCTGGGGGAAGGGAGAGGACAAGGCCGGGAGGGGGGCGCGCGCTGGAGAGCCGATCCCGGCCGGGGTCTTCGGGGCCTGCGAGCGCGGTTCACTGCTGCCACCGCCGGGGCTCCGGGGCTTGCGGGGCCGGGAGGGCTGGCGGCCCGGGGGCGGCGGGGCGGGGAGCCATGGCCAGGGCAGTGGGCGGAGAGGGGGACTCAGGGTGCCGCGCCCCGCGGGTCTGGGTCCGGAGCGGGCCGGGCCCCCGGGGTTACGCGCCGGGATCCTCCTGCGGCGGGGCCGCCCCCCATCGCCGTCTTCCTGGCCCCAGTCCCACTCCGGCTCCCGCTCGGCTCGGCCCGTGCGCTCGGCGGTGGCAAATGGCGGCTCCTTCCGGCGGCGGCGGCGGCGGCGGAGACCCCCCCGGAGGAGCCGGGGAGCCGGTGAGGGATGAAGGGAGGGGCGGGGCGGGGAGGGGGAGAGGAGGAGAAGTGGCCGCGGCTGCGCATCCCCGCCCTGCCCCGCACGAGCAGGTGTCCCCAGAGGCGGGGGCGAGTGTGCGAGCCTGAGGGAGAATGCAGGGAGGGGAGTGGCCAAGAAAGGGGAGTGTGCTCAGGGGTAGGAGAATAGGTGTGTGAACGGGTGAGGAGGGAAGGTGAGTGGTCAGAGGCGCAGGTGCACCAGGGAGGGAGACGCTTGTGTAAAATGGGAGTGAGCAAAGAAGGAGCTATGCAAAGATCCTAGGTGAGGGAGGTAAGTGAGCAAGAGATGGACTCAGGCAATAAACACCTGTACACAAAGGACTGAAAAGTGTGCACGTTATGGGGCTGTGGAAGAGATGAATGTGCAAGGGGTGGAGTCCGATTGTATGAGAAAAGAAGTGTGTGGCCGTAATGTGTGAGGAAGGTGAGTGAGCATGGGAGACAGAAGGGCTGCTAAAGGGTTGAGTGCCTTTCCTGGGACTCTATTGCCCTCACCATCACTACACTGAAACACACACACACACTCACACACACACAGCTCTTTATTTTTATGGGGGCCTTGACCAATTCTACCCCATCATATTATTTCTCCCTTAAGCTTACAGCCTCCCTTTCCTCCTTTGTCCAAGGCTGAGGGAAAAGGAATTCCAGTGGAGCCCACTGGGTCAAACACACTGGAAAAAATTAATTAGTAAAAGAGTAATTAACAGGAGAAAGAGGATATGGAACAGGGACAGAACTGCCAAACTAAGGCTCCTCAAGTAGAAAGTGATTAAGGAGAGTAATGTTCTTATGAAGCATTCAAATGTTTTGGATGGATGAGTGAATGAATCAGAAAAAGGGGCTGGAACCCAAGAGGACACAGAGGATGACTTCTAAAGACAGTGAGCTGTGGGGGGCTTATGTGGAAAGGGAGGCTGAGGTGGACTCTGCTGGTGTAGAAAGGAAGTTTGACACACTCGGAGACACTCAGCCTTCCAGAAGGTTTAAAAACCAATCAGTCCTAGCAAGAGAGCTAATGAAACATTCACTTCACAAGCCCCTTAGCCAGTTCAGACCTTGAGGTTTTCCTTACTAGCCCCAGCTGCCCTTACCAGCAAGGGCCCAGAGTTGTAACTCTCATAATGCAAAGAGGGGCAATCTCTACTGACAAGTCTTCTGTTCTGCCCTGGAGTATGGTTTATATTCATCTCAAGCCTGAACTCTTACATTCTCAGCCAGATGGTTAAGGAGAATAGATGTTAGGGTGGAAGAAATGACAAAGAGAGTGATAAAATGGTTTCAGATTTTAGACAAGTTCTCACAAATGCAACTGATCCCTTCCCTCCCTTACTCCCATGTCCCCAAAGGGTTGGGAGATAAATAAAGAAGTTGGAAGCAGTAAGACAAGGGAAGCCAGAGCAACCTGCCTGTTGTCTACCTAGGCGTCTATGAGCAGAGGCCATTTTGGAAAGATCTGTTCTGGGCAGGTGTGCGAAGGCTAAGAAAGCTTGCACTGGGGGAAAAGAAACACAGTGACCCCAAGTAATGAGTCACAAGGTTTGCAGAAGGGCACAAGTCATTCTCATGCAATGTGATGGCTTGGGATAGTGGTGGTGGTAACTTCCTTGCATATGCTCCCTCCTATATATGTCCATCTGTCTATATATGATGTATTTATCATACACATACACTCACATATGACATCTTAATGCTTAAAAGAACCTTAAAAGTAATCAAGTATTCCTGTCTCCCACTCACTGAAAACTTCTCTGCCAGAAGGCATCTGGGGTCATCCCTGCTTTAACACTCCCAGGGTGGGGTGGAAGTTGGGAAGAGGGCATTACCTTGCAACTCTTTCTGTATGATTACTGTATTAATCTGCCTTCCATCATAATCCTAGTTTTGCCCTCAGATGGGCGTTGTCTATTCCCTATTTTATATGACCACACTGTTGGCTACATCTTTACTGATAGCCTTATCACTACTTCAAAAGGTTAGTGACTGAAATACCAAAAAAACCCCACAGTCCCACATACATACAGGAAGCAAGCACTCAGTAAAAAATTTGTTGAATGAATGAATGGAAACAAAGACAAATGAGAATATGTTCTCCCATGGCGGTGGAGCAGAAAGGCGACAGTACCACCTCTCGTCCCCGTCCCCGTCTCCCCGCTTCCCCCTCCCCCGCCTCCATCTAAAGAGAGTGAGAGACTTGTAGTGAGAGACAAGATGCGTTCAGGCTCCGCCAGCAGCCGGGAGCCGGGATCAGGGTGGCCCAGGTTGCCATGGCACCGCCTCGGACTCCACCCTCTTTCGTCTTCTCCAGCTTCCCCCAACCCTGGGAGGGTAATGGCAACTAGTCACGTGCTCTGCCGCGTAGCCACACCTCTGCTCCTTAGAGCAATGTCAAGCGGTCACGTGTGATAGCAACAGATCACGTGGCGGCTATCGCCCCTCCACCCCCTTCCCCTCGCCGCCCCCTTCCCGGTCAAAGCCGCTCTCCACCCTTCTGCGCATGAGTGGTTGGTCACATTCCCCGAACGTCCGGCGTTCGCTCCGCCCCCTCGGTTTCCGCGCGCCTCTTTGGCAGCTGGTCACATGGTGAGGGTGGGGGTAAGGGGGCCGCTCTATCCTGCGGCCTGTGTCTATGGTCTGGCCGTAGAGTCCAGCTGCCCCAGACAGACTTCCAGTGTATGGCGCCTCAGGAACCCGCTCCGGGGCCCCCATAACGGGCCGCCCCCGCAGCTGCCAGCAAGAGGTGAAGTAAGTGCAGCCCCTTTCCAGGAAGGGAGACCATTCTTGTCCACCATGGTTTAATACGCGAGCTAGTTATGGAAGGGTCGCTTGAGGGCGGGAAGTGGGCCGGGTGTAATCTGGTCCTTTGTGGTTGTAGGGAGGTGTAATTTTATAGGTTGGGAAGGTGCAGGGTTTTCGATGCAGGGGGTGTGTCGTGTGGGATCTCCCCTATGCAGGAAGCGATGGTCCCAAAGGAAAAGGTATTTTTCATTCTAGGACCTCACGTGGCTGAAGGGGCTGGGGTTAGAGTTATTGTGTTACCTGAGGGACGGGCCTCATGGAAAACTGGGAAAGGGAGGGGATGTTGGTGGTATTGTCTTTGTGATGTCATTTGTGGGAGTTACTTTGTTGCTACAGGCTCGTATAACCAACCATCTGAACTCTGAAAGGGACTTTTCGGTGGTAGGAGTCTTTGTGATTGTAGGGTCTCCTCTGATCTGAGAATGGCTACCCCTCGATATGTGCCAGTGGCTGAGATTGGTGTTGGTGCCTATGGGACGGTGTACAAGGCCCGTGATCCCCACAGTGGCCACTTTGTGGCTCTCAAGAGTGTGCGAGTCCCCAATGGAGGAGGTGCTGGAGGGGGCCTTCCCATCAGCACAGTTCGTGAAGTGGCCTTACTGAGGCGGCTGGAGGCTTTTGAGCATCCCAATGTTGTCCGGTGAGAAAGCAGAGGGTTGGGAGTGGGTAGTAAAGGGAAAAAGACAGTCAGGAGAGAAGTGGGGACCCTGAGGAAATAGGGAAGGCCATGTTGGCGCCAAAGGGGATGATTGATCAGTCAGTAACTGTTTGTTATGGCCAGGCTGATGGATGTCTGTGCCACGGCCCAAACTGATCGGGAGACCAAAGTGACCCTGGTGTTTGAGCATGTAGACCAAGACCTAAGGACATATCTGGACAAGGCACCCCCACCAGGCTTGCCAGTGGAGACCATCAAGGTGAGTAGGGTGGGCAGACACTAAGAGGTACATTGGGACCTTTGTAGTAGAAGCTGTTGTGATTTCAGGTATGGTGCCTAGTTTCCAGTTCCTCTGTACCTCTCCCTTCCAAACCAGGATCTGATGCGCCAGTTTCTAAGAGGCCTAGATTTCCTTCATGCCAACTGCATTGTTCACCGAGACCTGAAGCCAGAGAACATTCTGGTGACAAGTGGTGGAACAGTCAAGCTGGCTGACTTTGGCTTGGCCAGAATCTACAGCTATCAAATGGCACTTACGCCTGTGGTCAGTAGAAAGATGGTAGTCAAAATGGGTTCTGGTTGCGGGGAGGAGAGAGATTGCCCGTAGCAGTTGAGAAGTCATGTGCTTCGTGATGTCAGTTAAGCAGTTACCCTTTATGGTAACCCGTAGGGCTCTCATCCACCCTCTGATTCCTGTTAGGTTGTTACACTCTGGTACCGTGCTCCAGAAGTTCTTCTGCAGTCTGCGTATGCAACACCTGTGGACTTGTGGAGTGTTGGCTGTATCTTTGCAGAGATGTTTCGTCGAAAGTATGGGACCCAAGTATCCTGAACTATTTTGAATTTCCCCAAATCTCTTATTCCTAAACCACATCCACACCCTGCCCATTCTTTTCACTTGAGTACTACGGACCCCCTTGTCCATAACCAGAAGCTCTGAAATGTCCTGGAGTTGGAAACTTACCCTTTAGTTTCTGTACCCTCTGTTTTGAGGGTATGGAATAATCGCTAATCAATAATCATTCTCCTACCATATCTTTTAAAATGACTGCTACCTTGTGTCCCTTCTCACCTTAGGCCTCTCTTCTGTGGAAACTCTGAAGCTGATCAATTAGGCAAAATCTTTGAGTAAGTGACTGGCAAGAGGGAAAATTTTTTCCGTTCTTAGTTTTTCTTTCTGCTGAGTCCTGGATGGCAACTGGCTCTGCCCCTGGAGATGGGGGCTGGAAAAGGACCCCCCTGACCAGAGTTCTTCTGTTCCCCACAGCTTGATTGGGCTGCCCCCAGAGGATGACTGGCCCCGAGATGTGTCTCTACCCCGAGGAGCCTTCTCCCCGAGAGGGCCCCGCCCAGTGCAGTCAGTGGTGCCTGAGATGGAGGAGTCTGGAGCACAGCTGCTGCTGGTACTCGGTTTGGGCATGGGCACGGGATGAGATTGGCATGAAAAACAGAGCAGTAGAAAAGGGACCCAAACCATCATGGTCCCTGAGACTTGGTTGGTGGGTAGGCTAGTCTTTACTGCTTCTGTGAATGGCCAAATACGGAGGGATGTAGAAAATAGCCCATCGTAGGTATTGTTGGGGGTGAGCGAAAGTCCTTTTTTTTTCTTCACAGTTTTCTGACCTTTGCCTCCCCTCTCAGGAGATGCTGACTTTTAACCCACACAAGCGAATCTCTGCCTTCCGAGCCCTGCAACACTCTTACCTACAAAAGGCAGAAGGTAACCCAGAGTGAGCAATGGTGTGGCTGCAACAGAACCAAGAGAAGAGAAACTGCCATTTCCCTTTTCAGCACTTGATTGGCGAGACCCCCACTGAGAAGGCAGGCACTCTGTGCCTTTTTTATCTCTGAGGCTGTGGATACGCCTCCTTTTTACAGAGAATATCTTGCTGCCTTAATGACATTCCCCTCCCTCCCCTCCTTTTGAGGCTTATCCTTCTCCTGCCCCCTTACTTCTTTACACCAAGGAGTATGTCCTTTGTTCTCCCCTTCCCTACCTTGATGTTGGGATTCTTTTTTACACAGGAAAAAACAAAACAAAGAAATATTTGTTTCTTTTTCTTTCTTTTTTTTTATTTTTTCTTTTTCTTTTTTTATGTTTCTTCCTCTGATTGGCTGTGCCATTTGGGGATTTGGAAAAACCATTTGGAAGATAGACTTCCCTGCAGAATCTTAAAAGATTTTCCTTAGGTCACAGGGCCTACATAATCAGTGGAGCCCCTCAACTGACAAGAGAAGACAAGGCATTTAAATTGCTTCTTTGAATATGGAGTTTAAATGGCATTTATTTTATAACTTTTCCAAACTGGGTCCTGCTTAACTACAAGAAAGAGTTTCTGATGGTTTTCTCCCTGGCTCTGTTCCTGATTTACTCTTGGAGCCAGGCCAGGACGTGTTGAGGTGGTCTAGCATGTGGAAGGGAGAAGAGACAGGCAGGAATGACTCCAGCCCCCATCTCATCTCTTGCACTCCCAGGAGCTTCCCATATTCACTCAGGGAGAGAGGAAGTTATTCCTTATAATCTTGCTCCCACTAAAACATGTCAAGGCGGAAAGCCTGGCTAGTCAATCATCTTTAGGGGATGGCAAAGGGCCTTTCCCTTTTCTCAAAGAAAAAAGATTATAGACCCTGGGTTTTCCCTAAAGGGGAAAGAAAAGGCTTAGAGAGAGCAAGGGGGAAGTCAGAGGGATCCAAAGTCTCATAGAAAGGCACTGGGGTTGGCTCGAGGATCCTTCTGATTCCGAAATCTCATCGCGAGCCAGACACCAAGGATCTGTAGAGGAAAAGGGAAAGAGATAAGCACCAATTCTGAATCTCTGGGCTAACACTGATGTAGAAAAACAGTAATATATGAGGGAATTGGAGAATGTTACCTCTGTAAAGCTAAAAAAGAGTCCAACACCTCCCAGGATTTTCAGAGCTTCATCTGAGTGCTTAAGAAACTTTTCTCCACACATCTGGCACGTGGGGCTCCGGCTCTTGCAGATCTAGGATAAAACATGTATGTGTATGTTTGGAGGACGCAGAGTTGCTAAGCTGCCCTATCCCAACAACTATGGTGAATGGCCCCAGAAATTATTAGTTCTTGTGCTTAGTGTCCTATGAAATCCCACTTGATTAATTCTCTAGCCTCTATCCATCCCCCCTCCCACCAGCACATAGCTCCAATACAAGAGAGCTGCTAGAGAGAGGCAATCACGTTCAAACTCAAATCTGCCAGTTTGGGCACTGTCCTTACCCAGTTTTCCTACCCCCACCCTTTCCCTGCCAACTCACTGCAGTGCAGAAAGCATAATCTTGTTGATATAGGGTTGTGAGGTTGAATAAGCCACAACAATCAAAACTTCTTTCCAGTTCATCCCGGGTCTTGTTGCTCATGACCCACCAAGAAGCATTGATGACATCTGTCTAGAGGATATGTAGGCAGAGGGAAATTATTTGATGCTGCTAATCTTAAGAATCCCCCTACATCCTGGTCTCAGTTCAAGTGCCTCATTTTGCCTATTCCAGAAAATGGAATCAACATCTATAAAAAAAAAATTTTTTTTTAAAGTACGGTATATCGCAATTATACACACACGACATATATCCGTGTCAGGTTCTTCTAGATCATTCTCATGGGAAATTAGCCAGACATCCCAGAGGAAGCAAATGGCTCAAGAGTCAAAGTAGACCTAAGAATGATCTCCAGGGCCAGACTGAGAGGACAGTTAGAGGCTAAAGACAGAAAAACAAGTACCTGAAAGGGCATCCCCTTACCTGTTTGCTTCGGTTAATAGCCAGACATGAGCAAGAGATTCCAAACTGGAAGATGAAGACCAAACCAAGGATGATCATGTACTGAGAGGAAGAGTTACAGGAAAAAAAAGTCCTAGATTCCTTTCTGTTCTACCTATAACAACCATCTGATCTCATCTAGTCACAGAACTTATACAGCGATGTCAGTTAAAAACAATCATCAGCTCATGTTTCATAGAGCAGGGCAAAGAGACATGTCCCCAAGATCCCTGGTCTACTTTTTAAATTTCTTCCTAGCCCACTCAGCCCTCCCAGGAGCCCTGGTACCCCCACCACTTCAGGTCAGGATACAAAGAATAGCAGTACTTGGTGGTGGTTGACAGCACCCACCAGGCCAGCCACTGCGATGAGAAGAAGGAAGACTCCCACAGCAATGACTCCTCCGATGATATGGATGCTGGACACCACACCCAGGCCCTTACCCCAAGCAGCCACTCCAATGAGCAACAAGCCTACCAGCTACGGGGGAAATGGAAAGCAGGATACATCTCAGAATTCTAGCATGCAGCACAGCCAAAGCCATACAGGGCACCCAGGACAAAAAGGAGGACTGAGTTGTGTGAATGAGGAAAAGGAGATGCTATGGGGACAAAACAAATACTTGTTTTGACCATCCCTGGGCACTCTTCCCATCGGAGGTCAGAATGCCTGGGATGGGGTGAGAGGGTGGCAGGGATAGTAATCTATTAATATAAAAAACGAACTTTTAGCTTCATCCATCACTTCTCTGTTTTGGCAGAAACTGAAGTTCACAGGAAGAAGGGATAAGCCTTTGTGCCCACAATTCCCCCCACCCCGAAACCAACCCTCTGATCACCGGAAGTCTCCCCTCTTCCCACGGAAGGCCCCAGGAATTCCCTCTTCGCCGGAAGTTCCTGGGAATCTTCCCGGAACCCCCAGTACACCCCTCTCCCCACCGGAAGTCCCCTAGAGATTCTCCCCACTCGCCTTTCCGACCTGAAGCTTCCCCCACCCCCAAAACCTCACCATGTAGACCACGTTGAGGGCACACAGCGCATTCTTGGAGCAGGCAAAGCCACCGCAAACCATCTCCCCAGCTTTGGGGACCTAAGTGGTCCCAAGGACTTGGGGAGAGGGTCTTGGGGATCGTCTTCTAGGACCCCAACAGCTTCTGTCTCTTTAAATCTAGTCCAGCCAAACCCAATCCTCTGCGCCTGTACGGTTCCACCCCTGTCCCTTGGATTGGCGAAACTCAGGGCTAATCCAGGACGTCGATGGTCTGAGTGCCAATCAATCTGCATTGCGTCAGTGACCCGCCTCCCGGCCCCTCCTTTAGGTTCTTTATAGGATGAAACTTAAAACTGGGGGCAGGGCTTAACAGAGATTCTCCTAGGGACCAGAACCTAAACTTCAAAACCCCGGATTAAAAGCGGAGCTTTCCGTGGTCACAGCTGGAAGAGGGCTAATCCGAGAAAGGAGGTTCTGGAGAAACTCCAGGTGATGTGAATGAAGGTGCGGCTTTGCTGGCAAGGCCAAAGGGCTCCTCCCATCGAGGGAGCGCCTTTCCTCTCCCCTTTCCCTTGTCCTGCAGTGACCTCATGATGATGCCATTGTTTGTTGTTATTGCGTCACACTCGAGAACACCCAGAGGAGTAAAATATTGAGCTATTTAGCCCGGCCACAGAGGCCCCGGGTTGGGTACAGCAACCCCAAGCGAATCCTCACACGTTTGCAACATGTCTGTTAGTACACATATCCTCTTCCATATCCCCTCCTAATGTATGTGTATATTCTAGAAACTAAATGTGAAAAACAGCAGCCTGGGCCGGCACATTCCTGTGTGTGACAAAGCCACAGATACAGACGTGTGTGTCCCTGATGTCTTCAGTGCACATGCTTGATTCAGGGCTTGCAAAAAAAATGACAAAGGGAGGGGTCTGGAATATGAATAAATCTGAGGGTGGGCATCATGGTTGATCAACATATGTTTATTATTGAGTAAGTGCTTTGGCACACTGCCCTTTTTATGGGAATGGGAAAAAAGAAGCAGCCTTAGTAGGAACACAAATGAAAAACCTCCCTTCAACCCCACAGAATGATTTAAGTTTGTGTGTGCTTGGATTCTATGACTGCATAAGCAGTATAGTCTTCCTGCTAGTCAGAATGCATGGGTTCCATCTTTGCCACTCACTAGTTCTGTAACCTTTGGTCAGTTAATTAAGCTTTCTGTGACTTTTTACTCATCTGTAAAATAGGGATAAATAACAATGCACCTACCTTTTGGGTGGTTGTGGGGATTGAGCGAGTTAATATATGTAGAATGCCTGGGACAGTACCAGGCACATAATAACCTCTCAGTGTTAGCTATTATGGTTCAGACTATTTTACAGGTTTCAGTGGGTAATATCAACCTCAATTCCCTTATCTGCAACTACAGAAATATTCATATAGTTATAATACCCTATCCTTCATAAATTAATATCAAGAAGATATGCAGGAGAAAAAACATTTGGGAGGGCTAGAAAGGTTTGAGACCTGAAACAAAGTGATTAGATCAAACTATCCACCATATCCCTCCCCATCTGCCCTGCATCTTCATTCTGTCCTTCAATTCCTCACCCACCCTCTTCTCTTTCAGGCCGTAAATCAAGGGCAAGACAATGGCATTAGGGATAAGGGGGACTGGTTGGCAATGATCTTGATTGTGTGGTGTAGTGAAAAGGGTATCAGAATTATAATCAGAAGACCCAGATCCATATCTTTGTTTCACCTCTTACTGGCCTCTCTGAGCTTTAGTTTCTTTTGTTGCAAACAAAGGATAATAATCCTACCTCTCAGGCCTGTCATGAAGATGATATATATGAAGGTGTGTTGTAAAGTATTGTGTTACAGACAACTTAATTTTTATGAATATAATTGAACATGGAACATGGTGGTAATCTCTGGTTATAGGTTACTGTTCTCCCCAGGAGGCGGTTACAGTAGGGTAGCTGACTGAGGAAGGATTACAAGATATGAGTATGCAAGCTCTTTGGATGTGTAGAGTAGGTGATAAGTACAACTGTAAACTGGAATCCAGGGCTATAAGAGTGATAGGCCAAGTATGTATGGATTCCTGTGAGAGTTTGAGATGGAACACAAATCTGTAGGTTACCAAGAGTTTAGGATTGCACCTGGGACCTGGCTTGCCACATTCTCCCAGCACCAACACCCATTTAATTAGCCACCTCCCACAGGAGGCTCTGGGATGCTTGTTAAGGTCTCTCCATCCACCTGGCTGGGGAAT